ATATCCAGTACAAACAAGTTGGATAATCAGCATCAACACGGTGGATAACCAATACAAATAATTTGGATAAGCATGTAAATCCATTGGATAACCAGTATTAGCGCATTGGATAATCAATATGAACACATTGGATATCCAATTTAAGAAGATGGATAACCAAATTATTTTGAATTAAGAAGTTGGATAACCAAATGGATAAGCAGTAGAAACAAAATGGATAACCAGTTTAAACTGATTGGATAATCAGCATGAACACAATGGATAACTAATTTAGAACAAGTTGGTTATCCATCTTGTAAAACTGGATATCCACCCCTATTCTGTCCATCAGAATTAAGTCATTTTTAAGCCCGAAAAAATATTCACTATGGATTTTGTTGGATAGATCTCGACGAGTACTATAAATTTCATATATAATTCGTTCAAAAATTTCTTCACGGATTGGGAGATATGGTGGTTGAAAGATTAGAGATGTTTTTTTTTGGAAGAGAGAGAAAAAATGACAGGGACTATACTTGTAAAATATAGAAAGATTGATAAAAAGTACAATAAGGGCTAAAAATGCAAAAAATTGGAGGGGGGGCACGGTGCCCCCGGGTATACTGGATAATTTGCCAATTTTCTAATAAAAGAAAACAAAACTAAACTAAAAGAGCAATAGAAATTACCTTCTGTTTCTGAACAGGGATTCCATAGAACCCATGTAAAGCTGCATGCATAGCCGTCTTAAACCTCCGAAAGCGGCCTTTGGCCGTGCCAAATACCTTGCCAGAAGTCGTCAACTCATTTACCCCAAGAAGTAGAGTTTTGCCAGGACATTGCGGTAACAACAGCATAAATTCGGCAGGTTGGGTCTGAAAAAAAAAAAGAAAAGCCCAAACGTTTATTAGTTCAGGGAGGAAGAGAAAGAGAAAGCAAAGCTGGCCCATATTTTAAACCATTCACTTTTGACACACTTTTTTTCCTAGTTCGAAACCTTTCATATTTTATTGCCTATTTTTCTTACATTTTTTTTTAAAAAAAAAACAAATGCAAATGAGAATTAATGGATGGCAGTGTAATGTATTATTTGAGAATAGGAGACACATGAGTAAATTATTAGACCTAAAAAAAATGAGAAATTAAAAATCACTTTTCTTCTGATCTAAAACACGAGTGGTAACGTCCTTATCCTCCCAAGAGAAGTAACGGGGGGAAGTTGCCAATCTCCTCACGCTTGTAGCAGAATTCCGAAGCTTTGAACAAAAAAAAAATAATAATAAATAGAAAATTTAAAATTATAAAACAAATAAGTAAATGAAACAAATTATTACAGTGTATTAATGTGTGAACAATTATAAGAAGGAATTCCCATTTTCGTACCTTTAAACTCTTTTGAATGTAATCAAACACTTTTCTTCCAAACATGGCCATAGTGCGTAATATTCCTTCTAAAAAAAAAGAGAGGGAGAATAACAAACAAATGATCCATCGTTAACAAATAGAGAATGAATTAAAGAATGTATTCATGACTAATTAAAATAAAAAAAAATCTTAGAAAACAAAAAAAAAAAAAAAAGACAAGAAAATCCAAGTCCTATGTATGAGAATAGTAATACTCAGTACGTAATAGTATCTTTTAATTATTTTCATTTGGAGAATGTCATAGTACACGTTTTTTTTTTAAATTCAATGTCGTCTTTTTTTTTCTCTTTTTTTTTCATAAAAAAACTTGTGAAAAATCCTACCCGCAGTCTACAAATACCTTTTCACCAAAGTATAGTACAAGAAAGTACAAAAGAGACATATACACAAATCCCAGCAAATAATATTCAGAAACGGTTTCAAAACAGAAGAAAGCAAAAAGGAAGAAACCATTTTTAGGCCTAAGTTGGGAAAATAACACAGAAGATATTAGAAAAGGAAAGAGTCCAGATTAATTTAGTCAACAGTAAAACTCGAGGCTGTATCCAGTATACCCGGATGCCCCCCTCCTATTTTTTTGCATTTTTAGTCCTTATTGTACTTTTTTCTCAATCTTTCTATATTTTACAAGTTTAGTCCCTGTGACTTTTTTTTCTCTCCTTTAAAAAATATCTCCAATCTTTTAATGACCATATCTCATAATTCGTAAAGAATTAGAGAACGTGTTATGCATGAAAATTATAGTACTCGTCGAGATCTATTCAACAAAATCCATTTCGAATATTTTTTTTGAGTTTAAAAATGATCAAATTTCTTTGGGCAGAATTAAGTTGGATAACCAGTACAAACAATTTGGATAACCATGTAATTCGTTGGATAACCAGTATGCACGAGTTGGATAACCAGTATGAACACAGTGGATAACTAGTTCAAACAATTTGGATAACCATATAAATCCATTGGATAACCAGCATTAGCGCATTGGTGATAATCCAATACAAACCAATGATTGGATAACCAATACAAACGAGTTGGATAACCAACTTGGTTTATTATTTTATAAAAAAATAATAAAAACAAAAACCAGATTGGATAAATAAAACGAATTAGTTGGATAATCTGTCCATCAGAATTAAGTCATTATTAAGCCCGAAAAAATGTTCACTGTGGATTTCGTTGGATAGATCTCGACGAATACTATAAATTTCATATATAATTCGTTCACAAATTCTTCACGGATTGGGAGATATGTTCGTTGAAAGATTAGAGTTGGATATTCATACAAACCAAATGGATGGATATTCAGTACAAATAAGTTGGATAACCAGTATGAATAGATTGGATATCCAGTTTAAAAAGATGGATAATCAACTTATTTTACATTCATATTATTCTTTTCCTTGTATCTAATGATTCGTAAAGAATTATAACATGAATTATATATGAAATTTATAGTACTCGACGAGATCTATCCAATAAGATCCATGTTGAATATTTTTTTTGAACTTTAAATGCATTTAAATTTTACGGGCAGAAATGAAGAAATGCGTTTTTTGTTTTTCTTTGAAAAATGGTTATCCGTTATGTTCCTACTGATTATCCAACGGTTTGGACTGATTATCCATTCTATTCGTACTTGTTATCCGTTATGTTCCTACTGATATGCTTGTTGAAAGATTAGAGTTGAATATGCATGAACACAGTGGATATCCAGTACAAACAAGTGGATAATCAGCATGAACCAGTGGATAACCAGTATTAGCGCATTGGATAATCAATATGAACACATTGGATAACCAGTTCAAACAATTTGGATAACCATGTAAATCCATTGGATAACCAGTATTAGCTCATTGGATAATCAACATGAACACAGTGGATATCCAGTTTGAGAAGATAGATAACTAACTTATTTTACATTCATATTGTTGTGTTCCTTGTATCTTTTGATCCGTAAAGAATTATAACACGAATTATATATGAAATTTATAGTGATCGACGAGATTTATCCGATAAGATCCATGTTGAATATTTTTTTGAACTTTAAATGCATTTAAACTTTACGGGCAGAAAATGAAGAAGTGTGTTTTTCGTTTTTCTTTGAAAAATGATTATCCGTTGTGTTCATGCTGATTATCCAACCGGTTTGGAGTGATTATCCATTCGGTTTGTACTTGTTATCCAATCATATGTTTGACATTCACTCTTCAAAAAAAAAAAAAGATAGATAACCAACTCTATTCTGCCCGTTAGAATTAAGTCATTTTTAAGCCCGAAAAAATATTCACTGTGGATTTCGTTGGATAGATCTCGACGAGTACTATAAATTTTATATACAATTCGTTCACAAATTCTTCACGGATTGGGAGATATGCTCGTTGAAAGATTAGAGTTGGATATGCATGAACACAGTAGATATCCAGTACAAACAAGTTGGATAATCAGCATGAACACAGTGGATAACCAGTATTAGCGCATTGGATAATCAATATGAACACATTGGATAACCAGTACAAATAATTTGGATAAGCATGTAAATCCATTGGATAACCAGTATTAACGCATTGGATAATCAATATGAACACATTGGATATCCAGTTTAAGAAGATGGATAACCAACTTATTTTGAATTAAGAAGTTAGATAACCAAATGGATAAGCAGTAGAAACAAAATGGATAACCAGTTCAAACTGATTGGATAATCAGCATGAACACAATGGATAACCAATTTAGAACAAGTTGGTTATCCATCTTGTAAAACTGGATATCCACTCCTATTCTGTCCATCAGAATTAAGTCATTTTTAAGCTCGAAAAAATATTCACTATAGATTTTGTTGGATAGATCTCGACGAGTACTATAAATTTCATATATAACTCATTCACAAATTTTTCACGGATTGGGAGATATTCTCGTTGAAAGATTAGAGATGTTTTTTTTGGAAGAGAGAGAAAAAATGACAGGAACTATGCTTGTAAAATATAGAAAGATTAATGAAAAGTACAATAAGGGCTACTCGTGCAAAAAATAGGAGGGGGACACGATGCCCCGGGTATACTGGATAATTTTCCTAGTTTATTATATGGATACAGAGATATAAAAAAAAAGGACATTTGAAATGAAGAGAATATGAGAAGAATACAAAATCCATTGTTTTTCGGCAACGGATAAGCCGCAAAAATGATTTTGACGACAGCTTTCAGTTTCACTTGACGTCAACCCACCACTCTTTACGTTCTTATCGTACTACGTAAGAACGAACCCCCGACATTAATTAATGGCGATTTCCGCCTCAATCTCAATCACGCTCTTCGAGGTCCGTAATCCGTATAGTTTCTCTCCATTTCCATTATCATTACATCGGCCACGTTTCTTGCTCTCTTACTGTCACGCAACTTACTCCCAAATTATTGCCAAAATATACTACATGGATTGATTGATGTAAGGCACTCCAGTTTTGATGGTGATTTTGCAATCCTGGTATTAAATTCTCGTCCGCTGGAGGGAAAATTGGAAGCAAAAAATCAGAGCCAAACCCAGAATCAGAATCATCGACAACTGCTGATTCTACTGAGAAATATTTATTGAAAAAAAAAATGGGATTTCAAGATGGAAGGAAGCATCCTCTGGTTTTTGCTTACTATGTTACTGGTCACGGGTTCGGTCATGCCACTCGGGTTGTCGAGGTGTGTATTCATCTCGGGTTGCCGGTTGATTCAGTTCCAATTTCCTTTTGTGTATTGTGTGTGTGTGTGTTGGAATGAAGTGGAAGATGATCGTGACCTGTGGTGCAAATTCTATCTCCGTTGGTTTATGCTGACTGGTTTTTGTTGTTTTGCTTCTTTTTTGCTTTCTCGTTTGCTATTTGTCACTTATACCAATCTTACAAGAAAATTCTATCTCCGTTGGTTTATATCCAAGGAATATTAAAGTTTCTGGATAGGAGTTTAATGAGAGAGACATGCAACACTCGGGATATACTCCCTCCGTGCCAAAATTCATCAACAAGGGAAAACTTGTTTTAGGTGCTCTGTTTTGGTATTTGATCATTATGAATTGTTGATGTCAGGAACAATTTGTATGGAGATCAATGCTTAATTGCAGTCACTCAACCATCGCTTATCGAACTTTATACAAGTTTTTCTTCTTTACATCGATCCTGGTACCTAGCTGGGATAGGTAGCTAACTGGTTGTAGAAAAATCTGAATAATTTGGCTTGAAATATGCGGGGTATCATGCAGTCAGTAATCTTATGAAGTAAAGCTATATTTATGTTCTCCAATCTCCTTGGTGGTATCAAATGATAAATCATAAAGGAAGTTTTTTAACTTTTTAATCACAGTATGTCATTTGTTATAAACGATCTGACTACAGGTCATTTCACATCATTGGAATTTTGAATATGATTGTTGATGTGCTGGATATTGTTTTAGGTTGTACGGCATCTCATAGATGCAGGACATGATGTTCATGTAGTCACCGGTGCGCCTGACTTCGTCTTTACCTCTGAAATACAATCCTCTCGACTTTATCTGCGGAAGGTTATTCTCTATAAGAACATGCGGGCCTGCTTTTGTCCCAGTTTAGTTCAGATATTAAATCTCAATGTTATGTTATAATTTCAATGTTCATGTCTATAATGCCAAATGCCAGGTTCTGTTAGATTGTGGAGCCGTTCAAGCAGATGCTTTGACTGTCGATCGGCTTGCTTCATTGGAAAAGGTGTGGTTGTACATGCATTATGAGAATGGAAATATCTTCGTTTTGTATATTAGGGTGCCAACAAAGTATTATTTACTAGATTATTAATATTCATTCTGTGGTTGATTTAGTACTCAGAGACTGCTGTCATTCCCCGTGAATCTATCTTGGCGACTGAAGTGGAGTGGCTGAAATCAATTAAAGCGGACCTGGTGGTAATTATTGAATTAATCTCATGTGTTGACTTTTCTTTTGAAAATGGTCATTGTTTTAGGATTGCTTGTGATACCCACACTTGGAATGATTATATATTCTACGCCTGTAACTGGGAACTTATAAAGTACAATATGCTGGCGAAATCATGATAAGACTTTTGATTGACTTCTACATATTTTTTCTGCAACAAATGGTACTCTCTTTCTGTTCCCCTTGTTCATTGCATCAGCTGTTCATGAAACTGCCTAAATTTGTTTATAATCTCAAAAGCAGGTTGAGTTTACGGTTAATGAATGATAAAACAGGTGTCTGACGTTGTACCAGTGGCTTGCCGGGCAGCTGCTGATGCTGGTGTTAGATCTGTTTGTGTGACAAACTTCAGGTTAGTTGCTTTTTTTGATTCTTTTGACCTCCCACCCTACATTTAACTTTTGAGAATTCCAGTGATTTCTATCTACTTTGGATATTTTTCAAGTAAAGCATTACTTTCCTTTTGCAGCTGGGATTTTATCTATGCAGAGTATGTGATGGCCGCGGGAATTCATCATAGGTCAATTGTTTGGCAGGTACCCCTTGACTAGTCTTGAATCATCTCAACTACTCTTTCTTTGGCACTTTTGCACTTATGACGAAGCGTTTTAGAAACATTAATTAGTGGCCTGGATATTGAGTGCATGAGAACAATCACATCTGTTAACTAGCAGCACAGCTCCTCGTAAACTTGGTAGCATAGGTGTGAACTGAGGTATGAATCCTGTGATCGTTGAACAGAGAATACTGATGTAGTTTTACTTAGACCAATCTTGCTAGATAGAGATAATGCAATTTAATGTTTGCATAAGTTTTAGGCAGGAATTTGACTAGAAAATTGGAGAAAGTTTTCATCTGTAGTTGTTGAACACATTCCTCCCATTTCTCCTTAAAATCTAGCACATGTACTGGACATCCTTTTAAGTTCACTAACCATTTTAGAGTTTTATAATCAAAAGTACGAAGACGATGGCCTAAACAATAAGTACTACTTGTTAGAAGTGATATGGTGAATCCATTAAAGCTTGCTTGCCTTTTTCAAGGGACATCCTAATTACCATAAGATGTTGTTTGACCTAAGATTGTTCCCCTAGCAGGTTTTAGGCCTATTTAGTCTCCCAAATTCTTTAGAGTCTCAAAGCATGGCTTAAGAACTTGTTATTGGATATAAATAATTTTCTTGTGAACATTATTCTTTTGGCCTTCTACTTGAAGAAAACTTCTTTGTCAGAACTTGATTACGTTCATATGGATTTTTTGTGTGGTGAGTTTGAGGCAAAATGTTTTGAGAAGATTATTTGCCGATCATTTTAGAAGCTAAATGCAAGTGGTGCACCATTTTATGATGTTTGTTTACTTATTTCCATGTTTTACTGGTAGAAATGTTATTGTAACCTGAATTTGTGAAATGCAAAATGAAAATGAGGAATAAAAATCGCTTCTGCTACTCCTTTTATTTAATCTTCCAAATCAACCTCTTTCTTATGAGAATTTCTGGTGAGGCATAGACAGGGACGACACGTTAAATTTGGAATTGTTTATTGTGAGCACACTGACAATTATTATTATTATTATTTTCAGTTGCATTTGCATCCTCAATTATTATTTTTAGAACAAACAATTATTTGGTTTTGTTGGGTTTCTATCTCTAATTATCTTGGTCTCTCTTTCAATGGATGTAGATCGCTGAGGATTACTCCCATTGCGAGTTCCTTATCCGTCTCCCAGGATACTGCCCAAGTATGGCGATTTTACATTTGCTTGGGATTTCTAAAGTTTTCCTTTACATTAGCTTGTATACAACAGAGATCTTATAGATTTTTCTTTATTTTCAAATCCGAATTGGAATTCACCTCTGAAGTGCCCGCATTCCGTGATGTGATTGATGTTCCTCTGGTTGTGAGAAGGTTACACAGATCTCGTGAGCAGGTATTTCAAACATAAGATTTCAGTATTACGAATTTCATTGAGATTTTGCTGCTAGAAGCTCTGATTATTTTCACATTTCAGGTCAGAAAAGAACTTGGAATTGGTGATGAGGTGAAAGTTGTTATCCTTAACTTTGGGGGGCAGGTACAGTTGATGCTGTAATGTGTCATCATTTATTGTCCAATTTGTATCCATTTTTATCAATCCTCATGATCTGCCTCTAGACTCTTCTGCGTTGGTGATATTGACTTACAAAACAGGAAGTTAACACAGTTATTATGGGAGTTAAAATATAAAGACATCATTAGACTGACAGTCTTACAGACTGAATTTTAAGCTCTATTATTCAGTCCACTTGGTGAGATGTTTAAGACCAAATTCTTCTTTTGATTATAATTTGATTCGTAAGAGTGCTATTTGGTGGGACTGGTCAGTTTGCCTAAGAATTGAAAGCATCAAATGACAACTCATGGTCAAATTACCCAGGATTGGAAAAAGAGAGTTAACATTTAACTGAAAAATGCAGACATCATAAATAATAGAATGTAATATTTCCTGATTTGTAGCACTTAGAAAATGTGCTTATCAGAGACTTATGTTGTCTGCTTAAAGTACGGTGGCTGTGATCTTATGTTGTCTGCTTGTCAAACTTTTTCAATGTGCTATTTGAGAACTGGAGTTGAGTGGTGGCAATGGTTTTGTCAAACTTTTTCAATGTGCTATTTGTTGTTGTGAAGGTTTTGGTGAGCAGTGGTCGCCTAAACTGGAAATGGTTTACGAGGGGCTAGTGTGAAGTGTTCAATCTTCTGGGATCTGTTTATACTGCAGTATCTGGGGATGTAACAAAATGGTTGAACTTTCTCATTACATAAATCTAGTGCAGGTTATATTTGAGTCAATCAGTAGTCATATAGTTAAAGCTAGGACATGTAAGACTTAATTTTCTTTCTTTCTTTATTTTTTGAGTCTGTAAATGGAACATTTACTTGCTCAGGCAAATTTCTGATCCCCAATGCCATACTACTCCATGTTTTCTCCTTGTCTACTGGATCTGATACTTCAAATCTTCAGTTCCCTTATTCTTTCAAGCAAAAAATACAATAAAATTGGTAGGAGATTGCTAGAGTAAGTGGTGGCGCAATTGATGTCAGTTTTATCAACTACTGAATAGAGAAATTCATTTTCTTGTTGTCTGAAGAGAAGGTTAAGGAGACAGATAAAACGATCCACCTGTGCTTGCTGTCTTTCTATATGAAAGCAGTTCAAATGACCACCAATATTTTAGATTTTCATAGCTACTTCTATTTCACTTTGGTCTTTCTCAAGTAACCGGTGTATAGGTAGACACGATCACCTTTTTCTGAATTTCATAATACCCAAAAGGGACTTCAGAGATAAGTGGGCTGGTTTATATGAAATTTTTTCTGTTTACTCTTCTGTTATGTTGAACGATTGGATTTTTAATTTCTATGCTCGTTAACTTTTAACTATTAAGTTGTATGTTTTATTCTTTCATTTGCATTACTGATTTGGTTTTTCTATACTCTTTCTCCTTGGTTGTAACGTTATTTATTTTCCTCTTTTGGTTGCAGCCAGCGGGTTGGAAGCTGAAGGAGGAGTACTTACCTTCTGGCTGGCTTTGTCTGGTAACCTTTTTCAGTCCTGTTCTGTACCTTCTCTCAGACACAGCTTATGTAGGTTCTTTCCTCAATTATTGAAATCTTTTCAGGTTTGTGGTGCTTCTGACAGCCAGGAACTTCCACCAAATTTCGTAAAGCTTGCAAAAGATGTCTATACTCCTGATCTAATTGCTGCATCTGATTGTATGCTTGGTCTGTTCATAACAATTTTTGTACTAATCATGTAAATTGTATTTTGTATTTTCTAATCATCATTATTAGGAGGATTGTCTTTATGTTTGCAGGAAAAATTGGATATGGGACGGTCAGTGAGGCTTTGGCTTACAAGTTGCCCTTCGTCTTTGTTCGAAGAGACTACTTCAATGAAGAACCATTTTTAAGAAACATGCTTGAGGTATGGCTTAGGAATATTGTTGAATTATATGCTGAATGTGGAAACTGTAGGATAAGTGCTAGGGGAATAGTTTTGTGATTATCTCAAAAAAATTGACATGTTGAAAGCTTGGGAAGTGATGTCCCCCAAAACAGGAATCCATGGGATCTTATGAGGAGACCACATGCTCTAATGAAGTTTGATATCATGAGGGGACGTTTTTGTTTTGCTTTTTTGGTGCTTTTGGTGGTGTCTTCTAATAAACTGATAATACTGTTTTTCTTGTTACAAGCACTATCAAGGTGGGGTTGAGATGATACGTAGAGATTTGCTTACTGGTCATTGGAAGCCATATCTTGAACGGGCACTGACATTGAATCCGTGCTATGAAGGAGGTAGCAATGGTGGTGAGGTACTAATCCATTTCTCCTCAGTAAATTTATTAAAATATAGAAACTATGCATTTTTTGCGCACACCTTGAAAATGATAAGTAGGAGACTGAAATTTTTTTCCTACTGGGCTTAGTTCCTATTGTTTGTTTTACTTTTTTCATGGCATTTTCTGTCTTGAAAATAGTCATTATTTGGAGGGAAATATTTGGGGAGAGTAGAAAAAGTGTGTAGGGATTTTTTTTTTTTCGAAATTATTCTAGAATTTTGGAGGAAAAGTAGATTTAAAACTTCAATGCAAGTGTGATTTGATGTTATTTGAATTAATGGCTTGTATTTCCAATGCTTCATTTCAGGTTGCTGCCTGTATTTTACAAGACACGGCATATGGGGAAAACTATGTGTCGGACAAGGTGAACTTACCTTTGTTTCATGTGTTTTCTGGAACTTCTGTTTTCCTGGTTTGTTTTACAATGTTTCCCACGAATTTATTTTCCTGGTTGTGCCTCTGAGTTGTATCTTTGGAGTAATGTTATCTTAAATTCGATGCTTCTGCACATGATCGAATCCCTTCTCTAGACATGCTTACTTTGCCTGTTACATGGTAGATTGTTCTTCTATCTGGCAATTGATATTTTCTTGCCGATGAGTTTTGACTTTTGTAGGCCTTTTAGAACAAAGAGAAACCCAATTCCCTTTGGAATCTATTGTTTGATTGAATGACCGGTGTAAAATGAACCTGAAATTGTTGATTGGAAGATTGTTCATTGGCTTCTGTTTTAAAATGTATCCTTATGTATCCTTATGTATCCTCATATGCTGGACCCCTTGTTGCTTCAATGGGGTGTTGAATTGCCAACCTACTCAATTTGATAGGACACGTTTTAAATGAAACAGTAATGAAAGTCAACTGTCTTATTTTGAATTCTTGGCAGAGGTCTGGTTTTGTAGGATTGCCTTCTGTCGGGAGTTGTTACAAATTTGTTATCCTCTCATTATTACTGGTTTCTTCATTCTTTCCGCATTCCAATAACCTTCTATTTGTAAAATTAGGTGTTTTTTTTTACCAAGAAGATATAAGTATGCAAAATACACTGTGAAGTTTTGGTCAAAGCATTAATATTCCCCCTCTCCCACCCTCCACCACCACCACCACACATCCTCAGTATTTATAGTTATTGTTTGATTTAAAGTGCGAACTGAAGAACTAAGATAGCAGAGAAGAGTACAGATCTTCCAGTATGGGAAAATATATCTAACTGCCATGTAAATGAATTGTTAACGTTCATTTCTGCACTAAAGCTATCATTGTGGGATTATGGCTTAGGCCTTGTTTTAGAGTTGACCAGAGGTTGGAAAAGCAATGTGAGATATTCCTTTTGGACTGTCGTAAGTAATCATTTTCCTGATAATATGTGATAAGAGATGGTGATGCAATGAATCAAATGTATTGAGTTGCCATGGAAGCCCAAAATGGTATAGAAATGTACTCCCTCCATTCCAAAATAAGTGTCGTTTTAGCAAAATGGAGAAGTTTCAAAATAAGTGTCGATTTCAGATTCCAATGCATTTTTTCTCAAAAATTTCCAAAGATACCCTCAAAAAAAATAATATTATTGGTGAGCATTTATTTTAATGGGGTTGGTTGAGGATATTCTAATAAATTAGCTACCATATTTAATGTTTTCTTAAACTGTGTGAAAACTCTAGAATGACACTTATTTTGGAACGGAGGGAGTATTAAATTTCATAAGGTGGGTAGTGTTTTCCATACTTTATGCTTCTTTTATTTTCTTTCTTTAACTTTTTCCTTGAGATAATGCCTGATTCAGCGTCTTGAAATACTTGGAAGAAATATTCGTAAACAGTATACATATTGATTCAATTCTATCTGATTTCAGAAATATGCTCTCGATGTTAGAGCACACAAATGTAGCATTCGCATCTTCTTTATCATGTTTGTTTTGTTCATGTGGCAAATAAATGATGAGCCCGTCACTTGGTTGCAGCTGCCTGATTTGAAAACCTTTTACTTGAGTCTGGATTCTATTGAACTGCTGCCTTTACTCTTTTCCTATAAAATTAAAACAAGTGAGCGAAATAGTGAGTCGCTAGTTAGTTCAAAATTGCTCAATTCAGGTTGCTGCTTTTCTTCAAAATTACTGGGAAGCATGGATATTGCTTAAAAAGAAACTTTACCTTCTCAATTAAAAGGCACAAGTGGTTTCTGTTGATGAATGTTCTTTTTTCCTCCCAGCTTAGTGGTTCCAGAAGATTACGGGATGCCATTATTTTGGGGTATCAATTACAAAGAGTGCCTGGTAGAGATCTGTTCATTCCAGATTGGTATGCAAATGCTGAAAATGAACTTGGACTACGTACTGGATCTCCGACTGCTGATATGTTTGATGATAGCTTCCTCATGCATTCGTGCGTTTCTTATGCTCTTGAATATTTACTAGGTTTTGCCACGAAGCTGCTGAATGTTTATCTGGATTTAAAATTATTCTTTGCAATTTTATTTCAGATACCAGGAAGATTTTGAAATCCTTGAAGGAGATCTTCTGGGACTGCCAGATACCGTAAGTTTTTTGAAGAGCTTAGTAGAATTAGATGCCTCACATGATTCTGTAAATAATGCGGGAAAACGCCAGTTGAGGGAACGAATGGCTGCTGCTGCCCTCTTTAATTGGGAGGTAATTTTTCTTCTACTGTTTTTGTTCCTTGTTGATTTTTCAAGTGAAAAAGTAGAGTGGGAACTTGGTGGGGATAATTTAATACCACGAAGTTATGTCCAAACTTAGCTGTGCCTTTAATTGCATTACATGATGGTACAAATGCCATTTGCCATTGTCATAAGAAAATAGAATAAACCCTTTTTCTTCCGGTCAGGTATATTTTGTGAACAAATCTTTTTAGGTCTATAGAGGAACTGTGGTTGCTGTTTGGGATGGTGGTTGTGGAGGTGGTGGTGGGCAGTCGAATGCGTCATATGATTGTTGGAGGAAAAAGAGGAAGGGGAAGGGGAAGCAAAAGGGAAAGGGAAGAAGGCGGCAGAAGAGGTAAGAGGGAGGATTGATAAGGAAGGTGAGAGTGAGAAAGAGGGGTCTGTAGTGGATGGCAAAGAAAGAGAGGTTAGGGAACTGGGTGGTTGGGGGGGGGGGATTTCCACCTACTGTGAAAATATCATCTGTAACTAATCGTTTGGCGCCACAAACGAGATGATCAATTCTCAAGGCACAAGTTTCCTCAAGCTAATGAAAGCTTTTGTTTATTGTCATGGAGCAAAATCCTCTCATTGAAATCTTTTGTTTTCCCACTTGTTCTGTTTGTTAATGATATGCATGTGCTGTTTGATATTGATAATGTGCAGTTCACATATTCATCAAGCAAGCTAGGTTAACCTCTTCTTTAATAACCGGTTGTGGAAGATGATAATTTCTTTTGATCCTCAGGAAGACATATTCGTGGCAAGAGCTCCAGGAAGGTTGGATGTCATGGGTGGAATAGCTGACTACTCAGGAAGCCTTGTTTTGCAGGTCTACAATATTTTTATATTTTCCCCGTTGATTTTCTTCTTTTTGTCCTTATATGCGTTTCCTTCTGGTGTATCTAGCTTTTATCGTGACTTACATTGCTTTATGCTGTGTGATAAATCTAAAATGTAAGCTAAAAAACTTTGTTCGGCAGAGTACCAGTCTATCCATGTCATATTCTGAACCTTTTTTCCTCTTAAAAGATGGTGGTCTGAATCCGTTCCAAAAGGCTTTTGAACGTGTGACTACATTTAGATGTCAGATTATCTTAACATGTCTTTTGCAATTGTGTAGAGATTTTGTTAGGTGACTGTGTCACATCGGTTTTATTTCAGTATCGAATGTGTTACCTTCTCATCGTTACCTTGTCCATGTTGTGGTTTAGGCTGGAGAATTAGGAAAATGGGTCTCAAGCTGTATCCATAAATTGATTTGTGGGTCACAAATCCACTTAATTTTTATCTTATATTGTTCATGAGTTGTTTACAAATCATTTCCAGATGCCCATTCGAGAAGCTTGCCATGTTGCTGTTCAAAAGATTCAACCTGGCAAAGAGAAGCTGTGGAAGCATGCTCAGTCTCGGAGACTTGCGAAAGGAGAAGGATCAACACCTGTGCTACAAATTGTATGTAATTGCAATACTTCTGATATCCATTTTATGGAAAATCTATAGCTTTATTTATCAAAATTATCTCATGAAATTTGTCACCTATATTTTGACCTGATGCGTATTTGTTACCATGTTTAGGTATGTATTTGCTTATATTACGAAGATTACTGTTTTGGTAGTGAATTTATTATCTTTTCTTAATAAGTGTTAAAAAAAAAATAAACTGGGAAGTCTTTTGAAGAAAGGAGTGTGTGTTCCAGATTTTATCTTACATGGTGGCTTTGCAAAAAGTTTTCTCCTTGGTAATTAAAGTTTTAAAATGCATCATGGCCTCGGTTATTTTACCCTTAGATACTTTATACCCTCTTCAATGGAGAAAGTTGGTAATATTGGCTTTGCGTTTTTGGTGCGCCACAAAAAGTAACTTGATTAATATCTGGTGTGCTGCACTGCTGTCTGAGAGGTTGCAATAAAGCCTTGTTGCAACTTCAGAAATAAGGGTTGACATTCTCCTGACTAAAAAAATCTGTGTTGATCCTCCTGAAAATTTCAATGGAAGAAAATTTAAAAATGCCTAAAGGATCTTGAAATGAACTTGGTTCAAGGAAAGTTGCAAATATTTTTGTCATTCTTAGTTTTTCTTTTCTTTTACTTCTCCTTTTTGGAGTAGAACATTATGTTTTGAGATTTAAAATTAGAATCATGTTCTTAATTTCACAAAAAGTGAAATTAATGGTTGAATGGTGGTCACCTTGTTATGAAATTCTTGTTTACGATCTATTATCTTTTTGTAAATATGGATTATCAGGTATCTTATGGGTCAGAATTAAGCAATCGTGGTCCCACGTTCGACATGGATATGTCAGATTTTATGGATGGAGAACATCCATTGTCGTATGAGAAGGCCAGAAATTACTTTGCTCAAGATCCTTCTCAAAGGTTTGGAGGTCTTTTAGAGTTTGATTTAACTGTAACCTTGCTCTAGCCTAAAATATCTTTTTCCTAGATGGGCTGCATATGTTGCTGGGACAGTGCTGGTTTTGATGAAAGAATTTGGCGTACGCTTTGACAGCAGTATTAGCATGCTGGTATGATGTCGCCAAATATTTTCTATAACCTCTCATAATTATTTTATTGTGTTGACCAGTCATCTGGTTTTAAGATCTTTCTGTCTGCTTGGCTTGCGAACTACATATGGTTTAGAAAATGTACTGGAACTTGTGGGAGGTGATTGCTTCAGATTTGATAGAAAAAAAATATTCAAGCCTCGTGATTCTGATTTTGTAAGACAATTCAGTAGAATTTCGACAATCATTACTTTGAATGGTAAATTTTTGTTTCTTTGGTAATGATGGAGTAACTATGATCCATTATGGAACCTGCATGATCTCCAGTTTTTAATTCAAATATCAATTTGTTTTGATCATAGAAGATAGCATTATTGACTATCTAACATTTATAACTCTTGGCCAGAAAATTCTTCTAGAAGGCTTTTCTTCGAGTGAAAGAGTTTTTTAACTAATCACTACACCTGTCTTTTGTCGAGTCCTTCTAAGGCAAATTCTGAACAAGATCTTTTCCCTGTTGTATTGCTTACAATATAGAATGCACAATCACATCAACATCAACATACTCATTACATATTCCAACCAAGTTGGGGTCTGGGGGGCCTGGTGTACGCAACCTTACCCTTGTAATTACACAAAAAAGGTTGTTTCTGTTGCGACTTAAGATGCATTGTGTCATTTGATGTATTTATTCCAGCTACTTCATTAATTGAAGGAAAACTAGAACTTAATAGCGCTATTATGATCTAGTCCATTATTAGCACAAAGCTAAGAGTACGATGCAGAATATTTGTGAATATTTCGTAATGCCTCAAATGTTCCACCAATATCACATTTAAATTTGTGAAATAGTGAATAGTGATAAATAATTGTTTTTTTCTATGAGATGATGTCTTATCTTATATATATGAGGCTAAAAATCCTGGAGAAATGCTTTTTCTTGTCTGCATGGAGCTGCTAATTGTCTGTTTCTTGTGCACTTGTAGGTTTCTTCTGCTGTTCCCGAGGGAAAAGGTGTTTCGTCTTCTGCCTCTGTTGAAGTTGCTAGCATGTCAGCAATAGCTGCTGCTCACGGTAATCATCTTCTTCTTCCTTTTTTTTCCCCAATCCTGAAACTTTGCTTTCACATCCGTCCATTTGAAAACAAAAAGTGATTTAGGGTATATTGATAGGTTTTACTATGGGCTTAGGTATGATAACAGGAAGGATTTACTATGGGTATACCCATTCCAAAATAATTGTTTGGTTTATAAAGGTTTAGATATCATTTCATTTTTTTATATTTATTTCACTTAATTAATTCATGGTACACCAATTTAGTAAAAAAATTTAAAAATGAATAATTATTTATATTAATTAATAATTTTGAATAATCTTGTTTATAATATTAAAAAATAAATTGAGTCTGAATAACTATTATTTTAATATAAAATTTAATACAATAAACAAATTGCGTGATTCAATCTCAATACGAATCATAAATTAATAAGTTAACATCATTCAATGATGGTGGTAATTTAAATTGGACTAAAAAATTTCAAATAAAACTTGATTTTTTTTTTTTTTAAGAAATATAAGATGCCCAGGTTCAAACTCAAAAACCATAAATGGAGAATATATATAACACCACTGTGCTACTTTCTTCTTCCATAAAACTTGAATTTTATAATGAAGAAATTTTTTTTAAAAAAACTTGAGTTAAATAATGAATAAAAAATGTTTTAAAAAAACTTGAATTATTTAAATTAAGAACAATTATTTTTATAATATAATGTGATAAATGATTTTTATACAGCATAAAATTGTAATGAAAAAATAATGAGTTGAAGAGAAAAAAAAAAGTTACATAATCGGGAATCAGATCAAAACCCAGCATCTTGGTGGGTTTAGAGGATTCCTAAATAATAAGAAATCAGTCCATTCCCGCCAATTTGAAACCCATCAACCAAACACTAATAATAGGAGTCATTCCATTCCTTCATTCCAATACCCATCAACCAAACACCCCCTTAGCTGTATCCATGCTTCTATCTCAACAAATTCTCATGTTTCTCCATGAGTCGAGATGAATCAGTGATGTCTTTTCTGGTATTTGTTACTGAAGGTTCATAAAGTCCCATTCTTCAAATCATCACATGTAACGGAACCGTCTCTTAAAACTTTTTGAGGATAAAAGAAGTGGTGTTGTCTGGGTTAGTGATGTTGAAAAGAGAGGAGTTGAAGGAAGAGAGATGAGATAGAAGGGATGGAAAATGTGGAGGAAGGAGCACAGGTTGAGTAACTAGTGGAAATGGTGAGGCAGATTGGATTAACAGAAGAGCTTGTGCAATTGATCAAAGAAGGAAAATTACAGGGCTGAGATCTGATTCATGTTGAAGGGAAATGATGTTTCCTTCTTGCCAGAGACACCTTGAGTATTTGGTTTGACGTTTTTGTTCTGGCTTGTTTAATTAAATGTGAAGCATTATGTGACCAATATTAGTAGATGAAATTCGGACTGCATATAATGAATGTTGAACTATTTCCTGTTGTAGTAACCTTATCATTGTAGACTTGTTGGTGTTTATTTTTAAAGTTAAAACTTAAAATATCCCTGCCTCAGTTACTCATCCATTGTTGTAGGATTGAGAATTCATCCAAGGGAGCTTGCATTACTCTGCCAAAAGGTAGCTTTAGACATACCAAATGTTGCTGTATCATTTCCCAGCTTTGATTATAGTTTTGTTCAAATATTGGCCGTTTTATTCCTAAATTCTTCTGGTTTTGTTGCTTTTCTTGCAGGTAGAGAATCATATAGTTGGAGCTCCGTGTGGTGTGATGGACCAAATGACTTCAGCATGCGGTGAATCCAACAAACTTCTTGCAATGGTTTGCCAGGTATGCAGATACACGTGTCACAGAAATTGGCTTAACTAAAGGTGTTTTGCATGTGCCGAACCGATAATCATCCGTGTTCTCCAGTTCTTGATTGTAGTAACTAATTTATCATTAAAATGTGTACTTTGTGTCAAATAACCATTTGAAATTTTAGGCATTATCTATTATCTTCCCTCTGCTTTTACCCAGTTAGCTAATACGTCTCATTAACAAGGATTGAGAAGTGGAGTGTGCACGATAGCAATGGTAGCTAATTACAATGCATAGATAGGGGACTGGCTGAAGTTCATTGAATAACTCACTAACCCACTGCATTTCTTTAATTTTTGTATCTACCATGTGTGGCTGCTATTTCAACTCTACATCTGACCACTGCATTTCTTTAATCTTGACAATTCACAAGATTTCCTGCAACAGAAGTCCATTATTTTGGATTTGATCTATCTGTTATATTACCTGCCAAATCAACTCCAGTAATTTTTAAAACTAATTTCTTTGTGCTGGAGTCCTTTTAGATGCCCTAGGAAATTACTCATCGAAGTGTCTTTAACCTGGAGAGTGTCACCGCTTATGATGCCGAAACCACATCATCATATCTATGTTACGAATGAATCTGTCAGTCAACTAGTTGTCATAAGCCTTCTTGTCGATCACTCTTGACTTGCATGTTGAAGTTCTTATGTTAGGCTTTCTAAGAACCATGTGAACCAATTTTAACAAATGAAACAAAATACTTTTGTTGAGACAACAAAATTCCTTCCTTTGACATTGAAGAGATACCAGTTTTGGGCTTTTTTATTCTCAACTTGGTTTTCTTCAAAACTGCAGATATTTCCTATTACTCTAGCATAGTGAATCATCAACCTCATGTTTGAGCGCGGGAATCCAAATGATAATTAGAGAATTTTGTTAACAAAATTTTTACTGATAACAGATTGTAAACAGAGTTCAAAATATTTTGAAGTTCCAGTTGCAAGATGTACATTTTTATCTGCAAAAAAGATTCTTAAGGTAACAAATGGGACTAATCACAGATAATGAGTGGACATTAATCCCTGATGTATTACAGTAAGAAAGGGATTAGCCACACAATGTTCTTCCTGTTTACACCGGAGTCAACAGAATGATTTTCAGCAGTGTAGTAGTTGATGAACTTGCTAATCTCTTTTTTGCTGAAAAGGAATAGGATTTCGGGGTTGTGTTTGTTGATCGGAGCACTCAGGGAGCCAAATCTTTTGATGGTTTTAAACTAATTTGCCAATACCTTGTCTCTATGCATTTATTTCTGAAAAAATTGTTTGATCGTTGTTTTTAACAGAAACGGAATACAAATCAAAATCATTCCTGAAATCAAAGTAGACTGGAGATCGAAAATAAAAAAAAAACTAGATTAAAAACAATGTCTTGAATCTCTTTGCCAACAGGTGTAGAAAGAAAGTTGATAGAGATCTAACCAAAAAAAAAAAAGAAAAAAAGAAGACATAGATTTCCTGTTCTTTGTTCTTGTGTTTGAAAGACGTAATCAAAGATTGTTGGTACCCAATAGGGATGATAAAAAGAGTCAACAAGGTCACTTGCGCATCCATAGATGGAAGTTTGTGAGCAGAAGAAGTCTGGTGGAATAAGAGGTAACCAAAAAATGAACCACCTAAGAATGTTGATAAATCTTCGAGATCCGAAAAGTCCACGTATTAATGTGTTTAAAAAGCGAACGTTGCCTTCATGCGAGAGGAACTCACCAGTTGTGGGAATTCAGATGTATGTGGTTCAAGTATGCTTATTGACAATAGGACAGATAATACCATATGACATCATCTCTTTTCTTGCAGCCTGCTGAAGTACTTGGTCTTGTAGACATTCCTACGCATATAAGGTTCTGGGGAATAGATTCAGGGATACGACATAGGTTAGATATTCTCTTCCTTCTCTTTACTTTTTTCTTTGTCGGTTCCTTTTTCTTTTCCTTTTGTCACATTGGTCACGTAAATATCGCCAATGACAATGGAAGTTCTCTTATGCTTGTTCATTATTTCATTATTAAATCATGGATAAAATTCAGCTAGGAGGATTTGTTAAAAATGTAATTCAAGTTGCTTTGGGAATTACTTCAGATAGGTTTTTTATCTGGTTAGGATCGAGAGGATGAGCTTAAATAGCTTTATAGTATTGCGGTTCATATGATCATTGTGATTCATCGTAGCTAATTAACATATCTGTGTGCTAGCGACAAATAACTAATTTTGTAAAAAGCTAACAACCCGCTGATATGGAATAAACGAATTGTAGTAAACTTCATTCTGATTGTTCTACATACTATGTCCATGTAAACTACATGTAATTTCTATAGTATGGGTGCTTTCGAAAATTTTTACGTCTTTTTTCAATTCCACTACCTGATGCATGATCTTTATACTGTCTGAGGAAAATGCTGGAAAGCATCTGCTACAGTTTGATATAAGATTTCTCGAATTCCTAAACAAATGCTTTAAGTTTTACACTTTGTTTTAGTTGAAAACAATAGGCACACAAGCTCTTTTTTTTTCACCCCTAAAAAAAAATAGGCACACAAGCTTGCACATTAGGTTGTTGTTTCGCAAGTTGTGAAGATAAGGCAGTACAAAGTGGCACTAAATGTTTCACGCTTGACTTAGCCTTGAGATGTGTTCGGAACTTTTTTCAATTTCTTTGAAGGACTCAGCTTGGTTTGATTCAGACATCAGAACTATTCAAAGTTTAACTGGATACTGTAAGGTCCCACATGTTTAAACGCTACTGAAACAGTTGTCTTCAGTTGTCAGTCCTAAGATGATTTCAGGAATATTATTAGGAAACTGAGCCAAAAGGCTTGAATACACTATTATGATAATCTTGTGAATCAGTTGGATTTCAATTCTTTCAGAATTTGAGGACTGCAGTAATTTTGTGGCAATCCAAAACTAAATCATTTGGATTATAGAAGAAAATGGCTCATGTAAGTACTTGCTTATCCTTTTATGAACTGTAACAAAGCAGATGTTGTCAAGTGTCGAGACGGGTGTTAAAGTTTGTAGTGATTAGCAAGCCAAAACTAAATCATTTGGATTATAGAAGAAAATGGCTCGTGTAAGTACTTGCTCATCCTTTTATGAACTGCAACAAAAGCAGAAGTTATCAAGTGTCGAGACGGGTAGTCATTACTTTCTCCTAAATTTGTGAAATTCCTTGTTGAGTTGGAAGCTTCTGTTGCTTCTACAGGATGGTCGAAACACTGAAAGAACATTGACCTATAAAAACGTGATTACAAGCCCATAATTTTCTAATCTGCTGAAGGGCAATTTTTAATTTGATTTCCTTCACCAAGGACTGTTCTGGCTGTAATAATCTGCTCCGGCTTACCTGATAAACTTATGATGGTTATTCTTAAATCAACAAAACAACTGTACTCATTCAGGAGCAAAGATCGTGTTCTTTCCACAAGGTACTTTTTGTGGGAACCAGTGCTATGTTTCTCAATCTTGTTTAGCATCAACCAAACAAATTGTGCTCTGCATTGTTGCAGTACTTATGGATAGCTTGAAGAAAAAGAGTTAAACCACTGAAACATCATGGAGGACGTATAATAATTATTTACTTGGCTAGACTCAACTTGGCTCCCGGTTCATTTATCTGCCAAGATATGTTTTGTTATGTCTAGCTATTAGATTATAATGTTTCTCCAGCTTCTCCAAACATCATTTTGTTGGTGTAAAGTAATGGCAGAAGAAGTGTCCAATTAGAAAGGAAATAATTTGAAGTCTGTGTTTACAGTGTTGGAGGGACGGATTATGGATCTGTTAGAGTTGGGGCCTTCATGGGTCGGAGAATCATTAAATCTATTGCGTCTTCTATGCTATCGCAGTCAAGGTCTGGTAATGCAGCAACTCCTGACGACGCCGAAGAAGATGGCATGGAACTACTGGAATCTGAAGCTTCACTAGATTATTTGTGCAACCTCGCACCCCACAGGTAAGATAATATTTTGTAACTTTATGAATATGTCTCTCACTTTTTGACTGGTTTTTTTCTGCTTCTCAATCCTGTTTTCGGAACTGCTTAATGAACCCAAATTCCGGGGCAACTCAGCATCACCAGACCTTTACCTTTTTGGCTCAATACATTTATCTCTGTCGGCCAAAATTTGATAGTAGTTTATACCAGACTAATAAATAAAGAAGATCAATACTGGCATCATTCTACCCGTTAAGAGATGATACAGATGAATACTGGCATCATTTATTCCAGTCGTTATAGTTCTTTTGTGTGATTTAATGGTGGGACATTTTGAAGGCACATATTTTATATTGTCTAGGTATGAGGCTCAGTACTCAAAGAACCTTCCTGAATTTTTGCCTGGAGAGACATTTCTGGAGAAGTATGATGACCACAATGATCCGGTTACTGTGATAGATAAGAAACATAATTATGGACTGAGAGCTGCAACTAGACATCCTATTTATGAAAACTTCCGTGTCAAGGTCAGTATTATGCTATAATATTCCCATCTTCTCTTGGTGTAGACATCATACATTTTGGGTTTGGGTGTTTCATTTTGTTCGAACTTTAAAGTCCTTTTTACCTCAAGACATAGGCGCATTCTCATTATGTGAAGTACAAGAAACAAATGGATTTGAAGTCTAAGGTTTTAAAAGGAAAAAATAAAAAATAAATGACACAAATGAAATGTGAATTCTGTAATATACCGGTAAGGGGGGAAAAAGAAGAGAAAAGAGAACAAAGGCAAGAATATAGAAGGATGCTGCCAATGGTAGTATAAAACTTAGTGCTATCCTGTTATCATGGAAAAGGTTTCCTTTTTTCGTAGTGAATTTCTGTGAAATTTGATTTGCTTCTGTTGCCTGACGATAACAGTACTTGCTGAAATTCATCCGTACAGCTTCGCTTTCAATTCGGGAAGTATAGTTTTGGCTAATTATAAAAAGGATCTTGCTAGAGTTGTCTCATAAGATATGGTTAATTGCTTCTAACCTGTGTTCATTTAAACACTCAGTTCAAGATGCCTTTACTAATTTTCAGGAATGGTATTTTGTTGCTACATACTACAGTAGATCGTTTTATTTGTGTATGTTATTCAATAAAATGGATCAGTAGATTGATGGATATCAAACTTCGTTCGGTACAATCTGTTTTAATAGTCTTCAAGGGACATCTTATCTCTCACTTTTACTGGTTTGCTACATTCTCCATCTGTAGCCATTGGGTTTTTTTCTTTACTTTTCTAATATTATTTTTATTATTGTCATTGTTGTTTTCTCCTCCATACCAAGACTTGGAAACTTTTTTTTATACTACATTCCATTTCAAAGATCGACTTGAAGAGGGACAAGCTGTTGTCAAAGTAATATAATCTTTTAGTCTGGAAATGATGGCAGAAGGTCGTTTCTTTTGTTTAAGGCTCATCAAAGTATTGCAGGTTGAAATAGGCACTAATGTTTCTGTAACGAAAGAGAAAAATCTGGATTTGCTTTATTGGTGGAAATTATCTTTGGCTTATTTGTAGAAAAATTTGTGATTCAACAAAATGTGGAAAGAAGTCTAATAGATTGTCTAGACTCAAATCACGATTGACGGGGTTTTATTTGCAGGCTTTTAAAGCACTATTAACATCTTCAACCTCCGATGACCAACTCTCAGCCCTTGGAGAGCTCATGTATCAGGTACTTGTATTTCGTGAACCAAAGCATAAGAACACAAGTTTTATCCCCAATGCTGAAGGTTGATTGGTCTAAAGCTAAGCAAACCAGATGAAAATATATAATGGATTAACACAAGAAATATTTTGAAGTCAAGAACATAATAAAGTCTAAGATTATACTTCAATGCTTGATTCATCTTATCCTTCAATTTCTACTGCAGTGCCATTACAGTTACAGTGCCTGTGGACTTGGCTCGGACGGAACAGATAGGCTTGTTCAGTTAGTACAAGAAATGCAGCATAGTAAGATGTCAAAATCTGGAGAAGGGACACTCTATGGTGCAAAAATCACTGGAGGCGGATCTGGTGGAACAGTTTGTGTTATCGGGAGGAACTGCATTCGCAGTAGTGAACAGATTTTTGAGGTATAAATTTTACCTTTCTAGTTTTGAAATGAGTATAAAGTTCAGCAGCCGTGGTTTTGGTTTCAGTCTCCCACGTGCAATTTCAAAATTTGACTTCCAAAGCTACTCCAAGTCTCCAACTTGGTCCAATAGGGGAGCCCCCATCGCAGCAACCTCAACAAAGCTACATTTGATCTCAGGACCTCTCTATGTCTCTTCTATAGCTTTAATGACTACTTAGTCATGATCGGGTTTTGTCACATCTCCAACCTGTACTCCGATAAATATAGCTTTTTAGCCAAAAACCTTGTTCCTTCGTATCCATTTATTCTGATTTGGTGTAACTGAATCGATGTAAAATGTTGAAATTTTTACCCAAGTGTATAATCAACTTGCAGATTCAGCAGAGATACAGAATTGCAACTGGATATCTGCCAATTATATTCGAGGGTTCATCTCCAGGAGCTGGAAAATTTGGACATTTGAGGATTCGCCGCCGGAAAGCCTACAGCGAAAGTTGATGCAAGCCTATTGTTAAAATGTTCTGCTGAGGAAATCATATTATATGATAGTGGAATTGGATTATGTAAGAACAAAAGCTTGCAGATGATGATGGTGAAGGCAGTGCGTTCTCCTTGGTGATTATAAAAGTTTTAGATGCAAATGACTTTGATCACATTCATTAAACTGTTATGTAATAAAATCTATTAGAAGCTTGATTGAAAAAGTTGTATTCTCCCTGTCCTGGAATGATTATCCCGTTTAAAATTTAACTTAAATATAAATTACACTAATTTTTAACATTTAAACTGGATAATAATTTAAGACGGAAAGTAAAAATCAGCTTGTCGATATGAATAAAGTAACTTTCTAATTAAAAAGGAAAATTGAGTGAACAAGTATAAAAATTTTGTCATATAGAGTTAAATTTCTCTAACTTAATAGTATGTATTTGTATCTATTTGAACCACCTAAATTTGTTAGTAAGAGAATTATAAATAATTAATAAATTATTAATTTAAAGAATTTATTTAAGGAAAAAGAATCCTTATTAAGTTGCGTAATATTCAATTATCTTTATCGAATCTAAGTATTGATATAATCTTGATACTAAAATTTATATATAGTTTATATTATCTTCAACAATTAAAAAAACAAACATCAATAATTCATATTTACTAAATAATTTTTTTTTTTTGGATAAAAGGTAACATTGTATTCAAACTCTTTGTGTAAACTGTACATCATCTTTTTCTATCTATTACATGGAAATTGCTTGGTTTAATATCAACTCTATGCAAGTATCTAATATCATCATTACTACCCCTTTTACAATGCAATTGAGCATTCCGAATTACTTGTATTTTTCAGATTGCTGAATCTGTCATTCACAGATTGTTTTTGATCCCCAAATTTTCTTCTGTTCCTCTCAGTCCAAATATGGTAAATAGCCCCATTTATACCAGCAAACAGTAGCCATCGCTTCACCTTTCTGTATCTAGACTTTTGCAGCAGAACAGTCCTTCTGCTTTGCAGATTCTGTAATTTTAAGTTTAAGCCCAGCCAATCCAACACAGCAATTAACAAACCTTGAGACAAACCACACTGAAAAAACAGGTGGTCTACACTTTCTGAATCAGCCCCACACAACTCACATTTTTCATCACCATTAAACCATCCCATTCTCTTCAACCTGTCTTGAATAAGCAGCCTGTTCCTGAAAGCTAACCAAGCTATAAAGCTATGTTTAGGGACACTATATGGACTCCAAATAATAGTAGAATCCCTATTCTTCTCCTTATGTCCCCTCAGCCACTTAGAACCACTTCTGGTATTATACCATTTTCCCCCATTAGCAGTCCATTGATCATTATTGATTCCATCCTAAATTAAATTCTTAACTTGGATGAGCTTTTTCCAATGTCATCCACGATCATTTGGAGCTTGATATTCCCATATAGATCTCCATTTTAAGTAATAGCTGTAGACTCACCTGACCCATAAACTTTCCTTTTTTCTGGCAACATCCCAGAGTTGCTTTTCCACTAAAGCTTGATTCCAGATCCCACGGTCTTTTATATATAAGCTCCCTTTTGATTTATCACTACACAGTTCCTGCTAGGCCACTAAAGCATAGCTTTTACCAGATTCTATTTTTCCCTAGAGAAACTCCCTACACCTTCTTTCAATATGTCTGATTATACTTTGTGGAATAATAAAAATCCCTACCCAGTATGAATGAAGACTTAGCAACACAGAATTTACCAATACTACCCTTCCTGCATAGGAGAGGTGCTTTGTAGACTAGCTTTTGATTCTGGCACATATCTTCTCAACCAAAATCTAACAATCCAATTCAGTCCATGCTTTTGGAGAGATTGGGACTCCAAGATACCTGAGTGGGAACTTTCCTGTTTCAAACTGCATAATTTGTTGAATAAGAGACTGATCAGTCTCTGAAACTCCTCCAAAATACAAATTTGACTTACCCACATTGATAGACATTCTATTTATAGCTGCAAACCTATTCAGTACCTCTTTTATCCTCCTTACAGTATTCATATCAGCTTGCAAGAAAACTATCAGGTCATCTGCAAAACTCAAGTTTATAATTTTGAGCTTTTCACATAAATGATGGTACTTAAAACCCCCTTTTATAGCTTCAGCTTGAAACATCTTTGTCAAATAATCCATTACCAACACGAAAATCAAGGGAGACATAGGATCCCCTTGTCTCAGACCCCTTTGTCCCTAGAAGTAACCCGTACTAACTCCATTGATGTTAACGGAGAATCGACACGTAAATATACACTCCATCACCCAGCCAACAAATTTGAGAAAAATGTTATACGTGTAAGCATCTCAGCAATAAAATCCCAATGGATGGAATCATACGTTTTCCTAAGGCCAACTTTCATCAATGCAGATGGTTTCACACTCTTCCTTTTATACAAACTCACCAATTCTTGGGTCAAAAGGACATTGTGCAAAGACCTACCCTTTACAAAGGCACCTTGATTCAAATCTATAAGATCAGGGAGAATTTGGCTAAGTCTATCACTGATAAGCTTTGTAATATATTTATAGAGGGTGTTACAACAGGCTATAGGTCTGTATTCTGTAGCATCCCGAGGAGAATTTGTTTTAGGGACTAAGGATATAAGTGTTGTATTTATTGTTTTAAGAGTTTACCGGTTTGGAGAAACTCTCTAATGGCTGTACAGACATCTTCCCTAACCAGCTCCTATACACTATGATAAAACCCACTACCAAAACCCATCTGGCCTTGGACTCTTCACTTTATTAATATTGAACATAGCTTTCTTAATCTCATTGATTGAGAAGTCTTGAATCGGGAGAATCTGATGGCATACAGACAGTTTGATCCCTAATTCAATGACTTCCCTCTCAAGAGATGTTTTTTCAACCTTAGTCCTAGTAACTCTTGAAAATAGCTTATGAAATGATCTTAAACCCTGTCCCAGTCTACCACTAATTCCCCATTACTATCTGTAAAAGAAAGGATCTTATTTCTAATCCTCTGTTGTTTAAGACATGCATGAAAATATTTCGTATTTAAATCTTCTTCTTGTATCCATTTACATTTTAACTTCTGAGACCAAAAGCTAAGTAGAGTAGTACTTACATGAAATATACTCTTTTAGGGCTTCTTTTTCCTCCTCTTGGATGGCTGCATTCTTAGGAGTTAGGATCATCTTGCAACATCTGAATTTTGTCCAGCTTCTGTTCAGCTTCATGTTCTTTACTTTCTATCTCAGAGAACTCCCTCTTGTTGAAATCTTTAAGGGCCAGCTTCACCATTTTCTGCTCACAAACAAGTTGATACTCTTTACTTCCCGTTACTGTGGTATTCCAAGCTACTTGTACTACTTCCTTATAGCCAGAGTGCTGAGTCCATATATTGAAAAATCTGAATGAGCCCTTTCTTTTCTGTTCAGGCTCACCCCAGGTAATCAACAAAAGGTTATAGTCAGACACCCCTGCTGTAAGAACAGCTGTAGAAGCCTCCATGTATTGATCAACGCATCTTTCATTCACCAATGCTCTGTCAAGTTTGGAAGCAATCCTATTAGCAAGTTTATTAGTCCATGTATACAAACTCCCACTAGTCTTCAGTTCCAGCAACTCACAGTTATCAACCACCAAGTTAAACATACTTGAGTCAGCACTGAGTGCATTAGTACCCCCTATCTTCTCTTCCTACTTCAAGATGCAGTTGAAACCACCAATTACAAGTCATGCTTCTCTTACTGTAGTTGCTATTTTCATCAAATCATCCCACAATGCCCCTCTGCCTTGTGATAGATAAGCTCCATAGACCACTGTGATTTCAAACTTCCTGTTGGTGCCAATCTCAAAAACTATGATCTTATATCTCTCCTTATGCCACATAAGTAATGTTCTCCCATTCTCATTACTATGATGACTTCCTATATATACTCATAAGATGTCCACTTCGTCTTTATTAACTCTTCTACCTTTCCCTTTTTAGTTTAGTCTCTAATATACTACTCGATTTATAGAGCGAAGATTACTCAACTCTCTATGTTTCAGGGGATTGTTAAGTCCCCTTATATTCCAAGTTAGGAGATTATTCATGGTGTCTAGACCTTGTTGCTGGGCTACTAGAACCATTACTATTATCCCTTCTTCCCACTTGACCCTTTCCCATGTTCCGTACATTCCCAACTCTCCCTATCCTTCTGGTATGTATAGTTGGTCCAGTCTTGGTCACTGCTTCAATGACTACTTGCCTTTGTTCTACTACTTTATCAGCATCCTCCTTAGACTCATGTACTTTTAACTATTTATCCGGTTGATCTGGCATTACCACGTGTACCTGTTTAGTTTTTTTTCATCTTTCTTAGCTATTTCAGCTAAGTATCAAACTTCTGTTGCCACTTCTGGATAACAGGTATCTTACTGTAAAATATATTAATACTCTTTTTTCTAATTAACCCTTCTTTGAGTGGGGTTTAAATATGGAATTATTTGTAAAACGGGAAAATAGATTCTCTTAATTTTTTTGTCTTAAAATATTATTTAGTTTGATTTTTTATTTTCAACACAATTTGTAATAAAGTGAAAATTCAAATTATACAACCATTTTGGTATGGGAAATGTGATTAAAATTGCATATTAGAACGTAAAAATTTGTATTGAGAAAACAAAAAAAGAAGTAAAAATGCATATACGAAAATGAAGTATGAGAAAAAAAAAATAAAACGTGAACTAAAAATATTCATGCAATGCCGCTAGTATTTCTGTTCAATGCCAGAGTTTGTTGACTTTTGTTTTGTGGACATATTCTATACTTTTCTGTTGAGTCAATTTATTTATTTTTATTTTATAGTGCTAGTAGTACTTTTAAGCTCAATCTTTTTTCACTTTAAAAAAGGGGAAAATGCTGTTTGAACTTCTAGATGGCTTCTATAGTGGACGATTTCTCTCCACGCAAAACACCTCACTCCTCATCCTGATTTGTGTAATACTCCATTCGTCTCAAAAAAATAATCCACGTTGAGTTTTGAATTTTATATTATTTTTAGTATAAATTCGAAAAAGTAATGTGGACTATTTTTTTAGAACTGAGATAGTAATTTTTTGTGAAAGAGTAGACTAAAAACAATACATGAATAATTGAGCAAATGAATTTTGGAAATCATATGCAAAATATAACCATTTAATTCTTCACGGAAAATTTTTTTTTCTGAATGTTAGAGAATAATAACAATGATTAAAATTTTTATTTTTTTGAAAAGCCTTTCTCGTGTTTTGTCATTCACAGCGTTTTTGTGGTTGACACTTATTCAACTTTCAACTATATAGGTGTTTTCTAATTTTAAAAAATAAAAATAAAATAAAGTTCTGTCAACTTCCAACCGTGCAAATGACACTAGAAATTCAATAAATTAAGAATAAACAAATGCAATAAATTAATTAAATACTTATGAATGAATTAGCTGGCTTCAAAAGTCCAAACTCGTTATGGAAGACCACCACCATTCAACAACTCAGAAATAACGTAGTTGACTTTCTTTCTTAATGTTATTTTTCCCCTTAATTTTGTTTGATATGTCAACATATGCTGCTCCTTGATATTTTTTGAAAAAATATTTCAATTCTCGGAACTTTTATCAGAGTAATTTTATTGATTTATGTTTCCCTCGAGGCCAGAAAAGATTTATCCTCTTTATTTCAAAATGATTGACCAGTTTATATTTTCACTTTTAATACAATTTGAATCAAATATAAAAATCTAAATTGGAAAAATTTCATAATGAAAACAACATAAAAATATGATCAGACAGATTTAATTTTTTTAAAGGAAATTAATTAAGAATGAGTACTGAGTAGTTGATGTGGAGAGTGATTTCCTCAACTATTGTGGCACCATGGTTTTATAATTTGTCTCAAATATATTTAGGGGCAACGAACCGACATTTTACCAGCAGTTTACGAATAGTTTGGTCAAATCTTGGCTTGAATTTGGTTTTGACTGAACTCAAATCAAATTCGGACAGTTCGATTAGATAAGAAAATCGAAGAAGAGTATCAAAATACTTGATTCGAGAGCTCATCAAGCCTATTCGAGTTTATTATAAATTATTTTATTTATCTTTATTCTGAATAACATTTAAGTCATTGAAAATTTTCTGTGTTCCATGAAAATTATGGTTTAAAGATGTAATAATGGGATATTCACATTTTTTATAATTTATCAAGGAATTTAACTTATACAACACATAGATCGAACGTGTTGAATTGAAAATGATAGATATTAAAACTTAATTCAAGTTTAATTTTATCGAACATTCAAGCTCAATCTTTATCAGACACTAAAACCTTAGCTAATCGAACAAAGCGCGAACTATTTATCTTTATTTCGAACCAAGCTCAAACTTCAATTTAGATGTTCGATTAAGTTTGAGTTCGAACTTTAAATTTTTTGTCGAACTCGAGCTTAAACACTTAACTAATTGGACTTGACTCAGGTTGACAGTCCTCAAGTTCTAAATGGTAATAACTAGGAATAATTCATTAATCTTTTAATTCGACATTTAAAATACAAAAAAGAGAAAAAAAAATGCTCTGCACAAATTTTTGGCAGAATTAGAATTTATTCACTCAAAGCATGACAGTATAATTTGCAAAATTCAACCCCCACAAAAAAAAAAAAAACACCTTCAATTGGTATCAGTTAAAAAAAAAAGAACACATTACAAATTAGGCCTAAATTCCCGATCTCGAATTACTAAACCATGTACATCGAATAAAGCAAATTACCCTACCCTAAGCTCCCACGTCAGCATCAAAGGGTTTGGAATATCTATATTATATATATATATCCTACTCAGTTTGTCGGGTCGGTTCGAATACCATTAAAGTACCCGCACTTGCTCCAGCACTAAAATTGGAACTACTAGCCTGCGACGCGCCTTGGATATGACGGTGCTCCCCTTCGTAAGTCACAATCAGCATCGTCGGATCATCTGTTGCCCTCTCCACGTGCTTCCTTGCTGGGCATCCTCTTACTGTACTACATTTATAATAACCCCTGAAAATAAAAAATAACAAAAAAGACATAAAATTAGAATCATCGAACTGCTTTCCTTGATCAAAATAATAATGATCAAAGAAATCATTCAACGGATGCGATTGAGGGTGCATGATAGTTACCGTGGGTAAGGTGAGCCCTTGATTGGTTTTTGACCATACTTTCTCCATGAATACTCATCTGGTGGAATATCAGCTATTTTTGAACTGATCGCTGGGACCCTTATAGTTGTCTTAACTCTAGATTTCCTGCACCGCGAAAAAAAAATCATAAAAATAAAATTCAGTGAACCACTCAAAATAATTTTAATAAATCGGATGTTAGACACGAATTATTAAATAATGTGAATAAGAAATAATATGGGAATAAACTTAATATTAAAAAATGTGACATATCCAGCTAATAGTTTGGTTAGTTTGGTAAACTAGGCAGTAGGTCCGAATAATAATTAAATAATAGTGGGTACTATTAAATTGACAATAGATAAAAAGTCAATCCCCAGCGGGTACCGCTAAACTACGCCAGCTGTTGACTACGTTAACCAAAACCCCACGTAGCAACTAGCAGCAATAATGACGCGTTTACCGGTCCAACAAATGTAATCCATGGTCAACAATGTTGAATTTTTGAACACTCCTTACTTTTTGTTACCCAAAAAAAAAAAAAAACTATTTATTTCTTTGACGATTTCTTTATTTCTTTTCTTTTAGTAATAATAATATTTCCTATATTCCAAAAAAATTATTAAAGCGGGATAAATAATGGTCTGCGAATAAAGTTTCTACTAACAATTTCTAATACTACTATGTATATGTATTGCAACATCAACAATAATCACAGAAAGTCTTCCCTCTTTCAAGAAAAAAAGAAAAACAAAAGTCTTCCGAAAAAATTAGCAATTTTTCTTTAAAACAAAAATCATTGTAAATCAACAAAAATTGTGGCATTTAAAACAGTACAGTTGACTAAAATAAATGGGAAGAGATTAGTTGCTAAACTACCTCTTCTTGCAATGGCACTTGCCGGAACCGGAGCCAGAGGTCCGGCCAGAGAGGCTGTTGGAGTGATCGTGGTCGCGACACTTTCTCGAAGCAATCGGCGGCTTTCCGGCCGAAACAGTCGGAGCCGGAGTTATGAACATTGACGAAGTCCCCGGCTTCCCGTTTGACACGCTCCCCTCTCCGGTGATCGACGACATGAACGACGACGAGTTCATCGATGTAGACACCGGCGGGGAAATACTGAAGCAATCCGTCGGACCCACCTCGTATCCCTTCATTTTCCGGTCGTTGCCGGCCGCCACCAGGTTCGGCTTTGTAAAATCAAGGGTCAACGACTGCGGCTGAAAAGTCAGCGCCGGAGATTGGGTCGCCGCCGGAGCCGGAGCAAGATTCAAGTCGTGAGGAAAAAGGGAGCTAGGAGGAGGAACAGGCACCGGTGGCGGGGGTGAATGAGAACTGGAAGTCGCCGGAGCTTGATTCACGACGGGTCCACGCCGGAACCGAGCATGACCCGTCCGGGTTAACCCGGAAACAGCTCTGGTAAACTTGGAGACGGTGGAATCAGCAAGTTCCCGGCAGTCGGGTTGTTGCTGGTGGGAGACTAGCCGGATCAAATGCTCCATGGATTTCAACCCAGCAGAAGCAGCTTCTTGTAAAGCCATTTGCTCATTCATTTTAGACCCCAGTCCCATAAAATCCAGAGCCATTTTTTTTCCTTTTTCTCTTTTTTCAAAATTCCAAAAAAAAAGCAATAAATTACTGGAAAATCAATGGGAGAGCATTCCAGAGAATGGATGGGAAAGAAATGGAGAGAGATCAGAAAATAAGAAGAGAGAGGAGAAGAATATATTGGAGAAAGAGGGGACCGGGTGGACCGGGTTAATGGTCAAAGAAGATAGTAGTTGAGTTGAATATTTCCTAGCTGGGTGGGGAAGAATATGACAAGATAGTGGTCCTTTTTCAAATTAAAAAAATGTATTTTCATATTTAGTAAGAGTTTCAACTTTTAACAAGAGACAAAATTATTTTGTTTCAACGTTTCGAACGGCAAGCTTTATTTTGTTTCAGAAGAAAAGGTTGCGAATTAAGGCTTCATGTTATTCGATTGGCGCCGATATTAGTTAGCGGAAACCAAACTCCAACTCAATTGACAAACCATAATTGAGGTATGCAGTCCTGATTTATCAAAATTAATGGAGCTTCTGCACGGTGTTCATCAACGAAAATCTGGAAAATGGAAGAAATGACTAGGCTGATGTATTGTTTAGTGTTTAGATCAATTGTAATATTTGTGGTGAAGGAATGATTGAGTTGATGAATTTAGTTAGTGTTTTGGTTTATTGTAATACCTTTGTCCTTTAATGTAATCGTTTTGTTAAAGTGAGAATTTTTGTCATGGGTATGTCCAGTCTCCATATTTGTCTAGCATTATGAAATATTATCGTTCTGTTTAACCGTATTTTTGTGTAAACATTTTTCTTTTTTTCACTCAAGTAGAAGTTTGTTGTGAGAACCGTAGGGATTGAAGGAATGATTGGGTCATTGAATTATTTAGTTCTTGGATCAATTTCATGTTATGTTTTGCATTGTTAAAGTGGGATATGCAGTAGTAGCAGTAATGTGAGTTTGTCCTAATGTTTTTTTGTGTGCTTAGTAGATGCATCACCACTTTCAGTTTCATATTAGAAATGATGCGGATGGATAATTCGGTTATGTAAGCAATTATTTCCTTTCAATCAAGCAAAAATAGTTTGTTGTGTATTGATGTGTTAATTGAATTGAAGCATTGATTTTTTTTGTACGATTTACAGAGCCCTTTCCTATTTGTAAACAACGTCATATAGCTTATCTTACTTGCTTAGAATAAGCAAACACCAATAACATAAAAATGAACAATATGGTTACCACAATATGGAAAAAGTTCCATGGCAGCAATATACTACTGCAACCTTTCCAAAAACAAAAATATACTATGCAAATTCTGTCACATTTGCACAAATTGCATAATAGCAATAACATGGACTTCTTTATGACACCAAATATAGCTGAGAAAGACAAAATCTATATCCCAACAAAAATTATTCATGGACTAATTCAGTTCCATCATACACAAAAGAATACCAAAAGTAAAACTAAAATTGACATGGAGATCTTGTGAAAACAATCACTAATCTCATATTACTTCTGCAACTGCATCTTTCTAGCATTGATAGCCTTCAAAACATTTGCAAAAGAAGGAGGCCCTTCACTCAGCTTGCCCCACTGGTACTCTTGTGGATTAGAAGGAGTTTTTTTGCCTTGCAACAGGCTGCTCAACACAAACACGAAACAAAACAAGGTTAAAATTTTATAAGTGATTTCAACAAAAATACTAAAGTATATGAATTTATTGTACCTGTGAGAATGTTATTGTATTGGATGGTTGTGAATTGCTGCCATGACTAGCTACACCATTAATGCTCTTTTTTGCAAGAGGCTTTCACATAAACAAAAGTGAATATCGCACAAGTTAGAAAAAGACGATGCTAAAACATGCATAATAAACAAAAAGATCTAGAATCATACTTGCGATGATGGACTTGTGTGGACTCCATTATCATCTCTAAGCCTTTTGCTTATTCTTACATTAGGATGAGGAACAGATCCTTGTCCTTGAACACCACCTTGTCATGTAGTAACTACATGCACTTCATTACCACCACTTTGCTCCGTTGTAGCTCTTTGTACATGATTGCTACCACCTTGATGCATATCAGATCCTTGCCTTTGATTACCACTCATTTTCTGGTGGCTGATATTGCGATATTGAAGCCATTAACACATGTAAATTAAGATTAATAATTATTAAAAAAAAAAACAAATCAGAAAGTACATAATCATAGTATACATGAAGCAGAAACTCTTACCACATGGTATGGAGAACTTGGATTAATTGGACCTTTACATGTTTTGACATTATGTCCTTGTACACCACAATGCTGACAATTCACAGTTAGACCCCTTCTTGTGGATGTACTAGCAGTTTTAGTTTCATCAGCGCTCTTGATTCTCTTCATCTTAGGCCTTTCAGGCTGTCTTTTAATTTCAAGTGTTTTTAATGGCTTACCCTTTGCCTCTCCCCAGTGGTCCTTCGAAGGCATAGCACCTATAGGCAGTGCATATGCCTTCAAGTATGTCTTCTTTGTATAACAATCATCCATGTAGAGCTCGGGATTCTTCTTAGCATTTAGGATTGCTGAACAAGCATGTGGACAATAAATTCCATATAATTGAAAGCTTCCACAAGTGCATGTTTTTCCGTTCAAATTCACAACATAATTAACATTCGAACCCCAGTCCACCTCATAAATATCATGTGAAGAATAGTAAGGCCTGCAATATCTGCTCAATTCCAAATTTTTATTCAGCATTGCCCTGCAATTAGGGGTGATATTTCCATGATACCTCCCCATCTCTTCCTTCTTCACATTGTATCTCTTCATCAATTTTCTCGTTATACACTCATACATTCCAACGACAGGTTTATCTCTGACTTCAAGAACATATGCATTGAATGATTCACTGAGATTATTTACTAGTATATCAGTCTTACAATTATGATCAAAATGAGCTGTACTCCAAGCAGCAAAGGGCTCTTTTTTCATCCACTCTGCAACAATCATTGTCGTACCAACCTTTGGATCAGTTTTTTCCAAATTCGACATTGCCTTGTTGAAGTCAGGGATGTTTCTTGCATATGCACATGCCCAAAAATATTGACCAAGATCTTTTCCCCTGAACTTTTTCTTGAAATTGTTATACATGTGCTTCAAGCAAAACCTGTGTGGCGATTCTGAGAACATAAATGCACTACTTAGTATTAATTGGTCATTTAACTTATCACCATTAGTCAAAACATGTAATTTTAACAGTACTAACTTCAGAATAAACACAAGTAGGTTATTTTGATATTTATGTACCATGGGGGTTTTATCGTGTAGATCCAAATACCACATGGGGCTTTCTTTGAATTAACCCGAAAAGAAAATATTATACCTAATCATCTTTCTTTCTTTCTCTCGCCTTATTCATTATCTCCCTCATCACTTCTCTTCTGCCTCCATCTTCCAATTCATCTCTTTATTTTCTTCCCCATCAAAATAAATAAAATTGATTCATGCTTCCATCGTTTTCAGATATGAAATTATTACTTTTGCTACATAATTTTCTTCATACTTTAATCGATGGAATTACAGTATAGTACGTCTATCTTTGGAGAAAATATTAATATCGAAACTCAGATCTAATCTTTCCGGTGGCTGGCCACTCACGCTGAACTCTTGGATCATTAGATCTGGATATATTTTACAGCGGCTGTGATTTTTTTAATGGTTCGGCTGGTGCGGTTTTAATCTGGATTTTTTTCTAATTAGACTAAACCACAGAAAACGTCTTATACATTTGGGCAAAAAATCATTTTCATCCCATACATTTTAAAATGCACATTTTCGTCCCATTTTTTGTCCAAAAAAAACATGATTTTTTGACTATTTACGTTTCAAAGTAACTTTCCGTCCAATTGACCGTCAAAATATAGGGGTATTTTCGTCTTTTATTCCTGCTTTTGGTTTTTCATTAATTAAGATTAAAATAATAATTAATTAATAATAAAATTAATAAAAAATATTTTTAAATTTTAAAAAAAATCAAAAATTAAATTTCATACACTTTTACCGGGTGGGGACTCAATAATTTAATTTTTTTATTATTTGCTACAGTAATCATAAATATATTAAAGTAGTAAAAAAAATTAAATTTCAAAATTCAAAATTAAACAAAATTGCCTCCATTTACTGTGTGGGTCCCACTGCGAAGGCCCCTTTTTTTACTGATTTGCTACAGTAAACTCCAATTTGTTAAATTATTATTTTTCTTTTTGTCGGGAAGATACTTATAATTTTTTGGGGCTAAAATCAAAACACCCAAGAGATTTTGTCGATTATCAAAAACATACCCCCAAACTGTTAGAGATATCAGGAAGCCTTTAAGATATATTTTCAACCATCAATTTTTAACAAACCCAATTACATCAAATTTTGAGCAAAATTGGCCAAAACCAATCACACCATATCTTGACACCTTTTTACTTAGGAAAATCTCAATTGCCTATTCCGAAAACCAGTGCAATAGATTTTTCTCAGATTTGTCCACTGCCCGTAGCCCATTTTGAGCTCACCGGACGACTTGCCAATTGCCATCATCGACTCGAATCAGCAGCTTGCGGAGATAAATGAGAATTAAAAAAATCACGGAATAAAGCAACAACAATCAAATTAATCACCGGTAACGGATACAAGTGTTACGATCAAAACTCAGACCCAACAATATCTAAGAAGAACCAAGCAACGAATCTTTCACATTTCATCCGAATTCAATTTCAGATTGAAAGCTAGACGAAGAATCTCAAAGTGGTTCGTGAGTGGATTACTATTACAGCCAGTACACGCACACACAAATAAAAAACTCCACTCCAAACAAATCGTCTTCAACTCACGGTGATATCCATTTAAACGAAGCTAATGAAAACCAAATGTAACAAATCGGTTAACCAATTGAATCTGGATAACCCAAAATTTCAATACAACCATAAGAAACTAAATACAAGGAAAAAAAAAAGGAAAGAAATTTGGTCGGTCAATCACAATGTGTTATAGATCTGAAAGGAGAAAATCTCTGCCGGCTGCCGCTGCGGCTCTCGTCTTCAATGTTGTTGATTCTCTAGATCTCAAGTTTAGAATGGTAAATTCATTACCCCAATAGCTTAAAAAACACTAAAGGCACTAAGGAGGAGATGAATCAAGGCGGGTGGTGAAAAGTGGTGATGACGATGGGGAAAGGGTACTGAAGGATAGATGAAGATGTTTTGGAACGGAAGTCTTTCTTCCCTTTTCTTTTTCAACGGCAGAAACTTTTTCTTGTTTGGATAAAATTTTTTAAAACAGAAGAAAGAGTTTACTGGAGTTGGCTGGCTGGAGATAGTAATTTTTATTTACTGTAGCAAATAATTAAAAAAATTAAATTATTGAGGCCCCACCCTGTAAAAGTGTATAAAAATTTTATTTTTGAAATTTAAAAATATTTTTTATTAATTTTTTATTATTTTATTTCTTAATTAATGAAAACCCAAAAGCCGGACAAAAAGATAAAAATACCCCTGTATTTGACAGTCAATTGGACGGAAAGTTATTTTGGGACGTAAATAGTCGAAAAATCATATTTTTTAGACAAAATGGGATGAAAATGTATATTTTAAAATGTATGGGACGAAAATGATTTTTTGCCCAAATGTAGAGGATGTTTTATGCGGTTTAGTCTTGCTCATTATTTCCAAGGCTAATTGCAATGGTGGTTCGTTCTACGAACAATGGCCAGCGATCGGAAGGAGAGCGGTTAAGTCCACTTTAGCGGGATGCACTGTGGCATTGATGACTGTTTGGTGGAAATTATTAACGCAGAGATCTTTGATCTTTGGGATATTGGGGTTTCTTTTTCCCTAGAAATTTTGTGATGTACTCCCTCCGTTCCAAAATAAGTGTCATTTTAGAGTTTTTACATAGTTTAAGAAAACATTAAATATGGTAGCTAAATTACTAGAATATCATCAACCAACCCTATTAAAATAAATACTCACCAATATTATTATTTTTTTTGAGGGTATGTTTGGAAATTTTTGAGAAAAAATGTATTGGAATCTGAAAACGACACTTATTTTGAAACTTCTCCGTTTTGCTAAAACGACACTTACTTTGGAATGGAGGGAGTAATATATTTGATGCTTGAGCATGAGATTTGATCTGAAAATTGTGTTAGAAAAGTGGTGCTGCTGGTGGTTTTTAGTGGTGGGCGGCGGAGAAACATGAAAGACACAGGAGGAGGAGAAAAGGGGTTTTTAATTAAATTAAAAAGGTTAATTGAAATTTATCTGTTTTTTCTCTTAAAAAATAAAATTAACCAAATTACATAAGTCATAATCAAGGTAATCCATGTACAAAACCAAACAAAACTATTGGAATCATGAATCTATATGCTAATCCGTCATCATTCGAATCCATTTCCTAATCCGTTTCCATGTAATAAAACAAACGCCTCCTAAGTCTTTTTAGACTTTGCACGTAAACTAAGGAGACAATCATTCAATAATTAATTTAAGTGTTAAATTTCTATTTTACCTCTCATTAATTACATTGGAACTATAAACAAGACTAAATAAAGATAGATTAGTATCATTTATTGAGGATAAAGTTGAAAAGTTACTCATTAATTTGCCTAAAATTTGTAAAACAATCTACATTTTGAAAAATCTCTCCAAAACTAAAATGACCTACAAATTGAAATGGAGGGAGTAGGAATTATTTTAGTAATAAATGCAGTTCTGGATTCTCGTGCGAGAGTAGATTATGTAAATCTGTGAGTTGGGTCTTTATATTATAGTGTTTTTACTTTATTATTAGTCATTTTGATTTGTTATAAATTTAATTCAATATGTTTTTTACTTAAAAATATATTAAATAAAAATTAAAATAAATTAAAATATCTTATAATAAAGAATATTGATTGTAAACATTGTTGACTTGGTTGGGTCATAAATAAATACTGTTGACATTGAGCATTTTGTATATATTGTTGGGAGGTAAAGGTGAAGGGTGTTAAGTGTTAACTGATAACTAGTAAAAGTAAGTTCACCTAATTCACTTTTATCCACTTTGTTTTGGATCAAGAAGGTGATGTAGAAATGTAACACTTTAGTTGAATTCAAAGTCAAATCAATTTTAGTATTAATGTGTTGGGTATCCTCTTTACCATATTAAAGCAGCATACAAGTAGATGAGATGACAGTTTTGGTGAAATTTTTTCCTGCCCAAACTAATGAGATTGCATGAATAGTTTTGACACGTGACACATCATTTGACCATTAGATAGAAAAAATGAAAAAAAAAAGCTTACATCAGAATGAAAAGTTTCTACAACATATCATTATTTACTTTTTGTTATATTAATATATTATATTCTCTCTGTCCCAAAATTATTGTCCAGTTTGAGATTTCACTTTTAGTACAATTTGAACTAGAAATGAAAACCCAAACTAGACAATAATTATGGGACGGAGGGAGAATATATTTTTAGTTACATATCAATTTGTTAAGTGCGATGCCCCAGACATTTACCCAAGTGAAGTATCTAGTTACTATTAAAAAATTTGTAAAGTATACAAAAAGAAAGACCACTTTATCGAATGAGCATTCAAAAGGTACATATAATTTACGTCATGATTTTTTTTAAAAAAAATGTGGCGGTTATTTTACTTCGGGATGAATTTAAATTCTAAAATTATTGGCTCTATTGGTTGAAAAATAACTTTAATGGTGGTGAGAAATTGATCTTATAAACTTACATAACATAGCTATTTTTTTGCTCCCACAACCTTGGCTAAAAGCTGTGGTAGGTTGTAGATTTTAGGACATCAGCTTACATTATATTGGTCCAGATTTATTGTTTAGACAAACACCAAAATAAATGAAGTGAGGTGAACTCTTTGGCAAATTATCTGGTACACCCGGGGGTATCGTGCCCCCCCATGCGCGTGTACTTTACTCTCTTATAATAGTGTTAGTCCGCTATTATAATTCAGCTTTCTTTTTCTTTTTTTTAAAAGGCGGGGTTATATAAATAACCGAATTCATTCAAATTTAGAAAACTTTGTGATGGAGTATTATTGATGGGCGATGGCCGGCGGTGATCGAGGCGTTGAGGTGGATACGGCCGGCGGCGATCGAGTCGTTGATACGGCGACGACGTTCAACGATTGAGGAAAGGTTCCGATTCTACCAGAGTGGCGAAACGGTGATTGGATCGAGGATATGCTGAGTTCAGATCAAGTGATGAGTTATGTCGTTGAGGATTCCGGCTTGATGAATGCGGAATGTAGTGGTAGCAAATCCATCGAACAATCTTACTGTGCCAGCAAATCAACGCAAGGTCACAGTTCTGTTGTAGATCAGCTGCAATTAGGTTTGTGTAGGTTTCGGAGTGTACTGTTTATGAGAGAATAGTCAATCTAGTTTTTTCACAGTTCTGTTTATGTTAATGTTGTATAAAGTGGATAAGCAGTTATGCTGTGTTGGATATCCAACGTGTTTGTACTGGATATCCAGCTTATGTGTACTGGTTATCCAACGGATTTACATGCGTATCCAAATTTTATTTGCTGGATATCCAACTGATTTGTACAAGATATCCAACATTTTTGAGTTGTTTATATTGAATTGGTGTTTTTTCACAGTTCGGAGTGTACTGTTTGTGAGAGAATAATCAATCTAGTTTTTTCACAGTTCTGTTTTTGTTAATGTTGTATGAAGTGGATAAGCAGTTATGCTGTGTTGGATATCTAACATGTTTGTACTGGATATCCAGCTTAAGTGTACTGGTTATCCAACGGATTTACTTGCGTATCCAAATTTTATTTGCTGGATATCCAACTGATTTGTACTGGATATCCAACATTTTTGAGTTGTTTATATTGATTTGGTGTATCAAAGATTTTTTTTTTAAATTTTTTGTTTTTTTGTTTGTCTCATTTTTTTGTAAAAGATAACCATATCAATGAGTTGGGGGATGATGTGATGCTGGATGATGCTTTGCGCATGGAAGTTACATCTGCTCTGAAGGGTAGATTTTCTAACTTGTTGATATGTGTTTAAATTTTTTTCGATTTGTTTATCATCCATTGTGTTAATACTGATTATCCGACTGCATGGTAATGGTTATCCCAGAATGTGGAGAAGATAATAGCGGCAATGAATTGGGAGTTGATAATGTGATGGTGGAGAAGGATGCCTTGCACAAGGAAATTTCATCTGTGACGAAGAATAATGATTTGGTTGTTTTTACTTTAGTTGGCAAGACTGCAAGAAGTGAGAAAGAAGCTTATGATTTGTATAATGATCATGCCCAATTGATTGGTTTTAGTGTGAGAGTGGAAAAACAGAATTTTAGAAGTAAGACTGATAAAGTTAGGATGAAGAAATTCTGTTGTAACCGCGAAGGAGACAAGAGATCCGGTGGAAATGGTGATGTGTGCCATGAGAGGATTAATTTTCGGTGTGAGTGTCCAGCTTATATCCATTTTACTGTTGACAAAGATGGCTTGTGGACCTGTACAAAGCATCCGGCTGATCACAATCATGATCTTGTGCCAAATGAAATGATTGGACTTCTTCAATCTCAACGTGAAGTAGATGAAAATGATATGAAGATAATCAGAGACATGACAAGGAGTGGCATCCCTTTGATTGATGCATATAAGTTTGTGGCAAAATTACACGGGGGAAGTCCGAACATGAAGTATACTTTGAGAGATGCCTACAATTATGAGCGTCCTGATGTTGGATTTGAAGGTGGCGATTGTAGTCAGCTCATGAAGATTTTTTGGGATAGGAAGGAAACTGAAGATGATTTCTTCTTTGATTTTGACTGTGATGAGCAGGGTAGGCTGTGTATTTTCTTCTGGAGGGATGGCAGAATGCGAAAGGATTATGATTTGTTTGGTGACTTGCTTGTGTTTGATATAACGTATCGAACAAACAGATATGGAATGATTTATGCTCCGTTTGTGGGTATGGATAATCATAACAAGAATGTCATGTTTGGTTGTGGTTTTGTGTTAAAAGAGAAAGAACTCTCTTTTGATTGGTTGTTCAAGCAGTTTTTGAAATCAATGGGAGATAAGCAGCCACAAACCATAATGACAGATCAAGCACCTTCCATTGCTGCAAGTATTCGAACATGTTTTCCAAGTTCTCGGCATCGTCTCTGTGTTTGGCACATAGGTGAAAATTCAAGAAAACGAATTGGTCATTTAAGGAACAAGCCAGATTTTGTTAAGAACTTTAATTATCTGATGAAATACACTTCAACAGAAATCGAGTTCGAGGTATTATGGAGGAGGTCAGTTTGTCAATATTTTTATTATTATTTTGATCATTGCCATGATTAAGAGTGTCTCTTATTTTTTTTGTTGTGTGGGTATGTGTTAGTGGTCATACATGATCTTCTTGATGATTACTTATAGGTAGGTAAGTTATACAACAATGATGGATAATCAGCAAATAATGTATGGACAAGCAGCCGCATAGAAGCACAACTAAAAAAATGCGTGGATAACTAGTTTACAGATTGTGGATAACCACCTGTTATGGCTGGATAACTAGTTTACACATTCTGGATAACCAGCAATTATGGCTGGATAACTAGTTTACGCATTCTGGATAACCACCCATTATGGCTGGATAACTAGTTTACACATTGTGGATAACCAGCAATTATCTCTGGATAACCACCCATTATGGCTGGATAACTAGTAGAAATCCTTTGTATAAGCATTAGGAAATTATTGCAGGGGTTTAAAGGGGTTACTGATGGATAGACAGCACCATATTTTGGATAATCTGTAAATGATTACATGATAAGCAGTAGAAAGCCTGAGGATATACATGTTTCTTTGTGGATCTATATGGATAATCTAACTATTTTTCTTTTTATGCATGTGTTTTATATTGTTGTGCACAGATTATTGGATGAGTATGATTGTCATGATGATAAATGGCTCAATGGTATTTATGATGTGAGGCATATGTGGTGCCCTGCATTTAGCAAAGATGTTTTTTCTGGTGGTACCTTGTCTTCACAGAGGAGCGAGTCAACAAATAATGCAATTTGTCATAAAATGAAGGCCACATCATCGCTTTGTGATTTCCATGGAATTTTCTCTGATGTTGTACACTGTTGGCGGGTAGCTGTGAGGGGTGAAGATCTACGCTGTAGCCAGGGAAACATCAATTCATATCTTCCTGGTGACCCTTTCCTAGAGAGCATTCGCAGAGTGTACACAGTTGAAGTATTTCGGGAGGTTCAGCAGTTGCACAAAGATGGGATGTTGTGCAGGCAGGAGCAGTTAGAGGTTTCAAATGTAGGCAATATTGTGACGTACAATGTTTGGCGGTTTGGGATAGAGCACTTTAAGCATGTGGTTGTACATGACACTAGGTTACAGAGATTCTCATGCACGTGCAGGTACTACTCTGAGGCGGGCATGCTTTGTCGCCACATTCTTCGAATCTGTCATGTAATCTCTGTTGATGAGTTTCCTAAAGATTATATATGTATGAGGTGGACAAAAGGTTATGGTGCCAGGTCAAGCATAGCTAATGAGGGAGATGGAAAAGCTGTTGGGCCATTGTTGTGGAAGGCACTAATTATGAGACGATTTTCAGACTTGGTGTATGCAAGTGAATATAACAAAGATGCAAAGAAATGTTGTGACGAGGCAGTTGACAGGCTTAAAGAAGAACTAGGCAATTTCATTGGTTCAAATAATAATGATGAGTCTGTAGACAATGATGGTGTTATAAAGAATCCGGTTGTAAAGAGGAAGAAGTTTGGTCCCAGGAACGAACGTTCTAAAAGCATTGTTGAGAAGGCATGTAACAAAGTCAGAGGCATGAAAACAAATGCAAGAATTGCTGCTGACCGAACAAGAGCTTCAGTTGCATCAGACCTGCATTATCAAAGCATGCCATTTCCTTATCCAAAGGGAGCTGCGCAAGATTTTTCAGGCTCAGGAAGTTTTGCTGTTGTGAATGCTTCCCATCAAAGCATGCCATCTTTGAACGTAAATTCTGGTGGATTCTCATTTACTAATCCAAGTGTAGCTGCCCAGGATTTTTCAGGGCAGGGGCTTCCACTTCTGTGAATGCTTCTGATCAAAGCATGCCATTCATCAACCAAAATTCCGGTGGATTCTCATTTCCAATTCCCAAGGGAGCTGGCCAGGAGTTTCAAGGTGCAAGCACTTCCGCTGCTGTGAATGCTTCTCATCAAAACATGACATTCATGAATCAAACTTTGATGGGTTCTCATTTCCTAACCGAAGGGAAGCTGCCAGGGAGGCTGGAGCGCAGTGTTTCTTCAACAAGATGTTTTATTAGTATTTTTACTTGATGTTGAAATAAACAGTATTGATAGTGTAAAGATTTTTATTTAAAAAGTATTATTTATTTTAAATTGCAGTATTATCCAACCAGTTTGAACTAGTTATCCATTTTGTTTGTACTGGTTATCCAAGTGGTTATTTTAAATTGGTTATCCGTTGTATTCATTATCCAACCAGTTTGAATTGGTTATCCAAGTTGTTTGTACTGGATATCCACCGATTTGCTTTGTATGCCTATCGAACTTGTTTGTACTAGATATCCTTTTCGTTTGTACTGGATATCCATTTCGTTTTTACTGGATATCCAACTCGTCTATACTGGATATCCAACTCGCCTGTACCGGTTATGCAACTTTAAATGCATATAGATATTACAAAAAAGACATGAACACGTTGAACACGCTTTGTTCACAAATAATATCATTGGATAACCAGCATAGATAATCTGGATAATTAGTACAAAGTCATGGGATAACCAGTATAAGATCAATGGACAATTATTTTCAGTAATAAGTTAACAAGGAAAAGATAAATTTTTTTTTAAAAAAAAAATCCTAAAAGTGTGTTAATGTCTCCCAGAAGTAACATGCTGAAATGATGAAACTGGTTTCTAGATCCGGCGATGTACTTGAGTGTGTGATTTTTCTGGTAGGAACACTATACAACAGCAAAATGTCGATTATCGTATCTTTTGACAATGAACTGTCCTGCTGGAGATGATTTGTGGCTTAGAAACACTAGATAAAGCCAATCATGACGGAACTGTAATCCGTGTGGAACGTGTGTGTTCACATTTGGGAATTCATGGGTCTCAAACATGCAATCCCATGTGGAAGTATCTGGATCCCAAGCCCACATCTGACAGTGATGATTCTGAGTAATGTGGTACTCATCTATTACACACAAAGTCCTCTAGAAGTCCAATATTTTCACTTGGAGATTCATATGATAAGGATCAGTGGGGTTAAAGAAGATTGGAGATGGAGGGCAGTTTATGGTTTGGAATTGTTGAGTGTGGTAGTCAAACACGACCAGCAACTCTTAAGGTGTTGCTATTTCAGAGGATACTTTGTCTACAAGCCAGTACATGAATCTATCAAACCAGGTTCCATCAGATACAAGGCGAGGACATACATTGCAAAGTATTTTCCATTCCCCTCTATGAATACTTGAACAACTTTGAAAAGAAAAAATGCAGCCTTGCATGTTTTTTCCATCGGCAATAAGGGCCATGAAAACGTAAGTTTTTGAGGATGATAGGTACCCAAATGCTGTTTCACAATTGCTGAGAGGGACATCATATGGCCATTCAATTGATGCAAGATGTGTTGTCTTTGGGTTCAAGAATTTGATTTGAGACCTGGGTTGCAGACAGAGCAAATCTGTGGTGATAGGCATGATTTTATGGATGCCATCGTCACCCATCGACATCTCTTCTTGCAATCCTATGTGGTTGCATGGGTTATCCATTTGCACTTTTATGTTGGTGGCGATTAGTTTGTCTTGCAACATGTGACCTTCTTGGCTTGTTTGAGTGAAAACAAGGATGTTGTTTTCAGTTGCAGGGTAGCTCATCTCACGTTTTTGAAAAACAAATTCTTGTCTTTTCGTCATTTGCTCCCAAGCTTTGCTGACACGACGGAACTCACCAATCTTTTCCAATGTCAGATTAATGAACATATTATCAAGCATATCGTGATGGATATATTCAGGGTAGTTGTTCTTTTCTTGCTTTGCTTGCCTGGGGGGCATTTGTTTGGTTGTGGAATTTGAGGAAATTTTTTCGTTTTTTCATTTTTTTATGGCTGTTGGATGTTTTGGATGCTCAAATCAGGCATTCTGGTGTATGTGCAGATGAGGGAGTTTTATAGAAATGCTCAATATGGAGATGTCAAGGAGTTCTATAGAAATGCTGTATGTGGAGATGAGGTAGTTTATACAGAGGTAATTTGACGGATTAACTACCCATGCAGTCATATTTTTTTTCACAAATCAGTGTCTTCTCACTCTCTATTCATTAACTGTCATTGTGATAATCAAGAAACTCATTTAATGACAGTTATGTAACTGATCCTTATTCAATCCATTCCATGTAAAAACGTGTGGCTCTGTAACTACCCATTAGATCATGATGTACTCTGCACAAACATGAGCCTTTTCAGTTTTCTTTTTTTATTTTTACTCCCTCAATTTTTTAAATTCTTTTTAATTACAAAACGTGTAGCTTTTCAGTTATACACAGTAACATGCTCCACACTATGATAACCAGTATGGACATAGTGGGTAACCAGTGTTCCCACTATGGATAACCAGTTAAACACAGCTGGATAACCAGTATTGATACTATGGACAAGCATTTTTTATAAAGAATAAAAACAAAGTAAAAATTCAATAAGCATTACAAACCATTTGCATAATCAGTACTAACACATTGGGCAAGTTCTGATAACCATTTTGGATAACCAGTGCAAACCAGTTTGAATGTCATTAGAAAATGACTGGATAACCATTATTAACCTGTTGGATAACCAGTATGGACATAGTGGATAACCAGTGTACACACTATGGATAACCAGTTACATACAGCTGGATAACCAGTGTTGACACTATGGACAAGCATTTTTCATAAAGAATAAAAACAAAGTAAACATTCAATAAGCATTACAAATCATTTGGATAATCAGTACTAACATTGGGCAACCATTATTAACCTGTTGGATAATTAGTACTGACAACGTGGACTATCATTTTTTTCCTTTTATATTTTTCTTGGATATCCTTGTTCGTATTTTTTACACTGGTTATCCAGCTGCCCCTCAGTCATTTTTTGTTCTCCATTGTTTGGCAAACTGCCCCTCATTCAATTAAATACTATTTATGAAATTTGCCATGTTCGGCATGGGAGCGGCACAGCCACGGGCACCGGCACAGCCGGGTCGTTTAGTTTATCAGGGGGGATTTATACAAGTAATTTGTGTCCCCTCTTAACGCAATAACACACTCTCCTTACACACACACAAAAAAAAAAGGATTAACTTAGCTACATTGGCGTGTTCGGCAGGGCGATGCAGCCGCGGCAGGTTGGTAACTTGCGATTCCGGTAGCCGCGGGAGTCGTTTAGTTTATCATGGGGGGCGAAGCCCCCCAATGAACATACCGTTTGGATAGCCATTTTCTTATGGATATTCTCTTTTGTTATGTCTTTTTGGAAGCCCTCTCTGAATCCTTGTTTTGTTATGTCCACATGGTGGATAGGCATTGGTTACATATGGATAAGCAGTATTGAGGTTTTAGATAACAAGTATAAACTCATGGATAATCAGGTTAAAGACTGTACTTGTATTTTTTTGACTAGATAATCTCTATAAAATATTCGGATAATCAGGTGTAACAAGTTGGATAACTAGTACAAAGATCCTGGATAACCATTACAAACGGTTGAATATTGCTGCACATTGACTGGATAACCAGTACAAAAGTCCTAGATAATCAATACAGAGCATTGGATAATCAGAAAAAAAATATTGGATAAGCAGGATAACATCATAGGATAAGCAGTTTAATAAAGAAGTAGAAAGACCAAGAAATTGGGACACTCAGTTTTTGTTGTTTGGGAATTTACAGAAATATTTGGACAACTAAAACACATTGTCTTGTTATTTTCTTATGAATATTTTCTTTTGTTATGTCTTTTTAGATAATCAGGTTAAAGAATGTACTTGCATTTTTTTGACTGGATAATCACTATAAAACATTCGGATAATCAGGTGTAACAAGTTGGATAACTAGTACAAAGATCCTGGATAACCATTACAAACGACTGGATAATATACTAGGATGGCCAGTACACAGCTGTTGGATATCAAACACTTTAGGATCAACAGTCAATCAATTATACAAGAGAACATAATGACAGTTCATTTAACCCATCCCTGAATTTTCCTGTCATTGTAGTAAGGTTTGCTGCTCAAATCAACATGATCTGGAATTTCTTTTTGTTCTTCTTCAGCAGTATTTGTATAGAACTGGTGCATTGCTTCGAGAATTTTTCTGGGATTTTTCTGTCATTGTAGTAAGGATTTTTATCATGTATTTCCACCGGCACTCTTTGATGTTTCCTGTTTTGAAATCCAAAGTAGTACCATCCTCGTACTCACCACCATCATACCGCTTCATGTGGTGCATTGTGTATATTCCACAATCATCCGCATTCGTTGTTTTGTCCTTATGCAATGGTAGCATAACCTCTGTGAAGGTGTACTGAGCACCGAATAGTTCTATGCGTGGAAACACAATGCAACGTAGCTTTGGAAGAACCGAAACTGTAATGCCATAAAATCCAAGGATCAGCAAAATGCAATGGATAATTCTTAAACTATGACAATCATTTCTTATCTTTTTTCACTCACAAGTAGATCTTTCGTTGGCTTGTAATAGTCCAGATCTTTTGCATGAATATTGTTGAGGACAAGCACTTTCTTTTCTTCAACCAGCAACACATACAAGAAGTAATGGTCTCGGTAGTATACTGAGAAGTAGATCTGATATTTCACATTGAAGGGGGAACTCATATGAAAAGTTTTTAACAGCCAGCTATAGAAAGAGCGAAGGAGGTGAAAGATGTTGCTTACAGCTTTTGTTGTTCATCAACCACCACTTCTTTTGAAGTAGGCACAGATTTCCCCAGTGGAAGAGAATCCTCATCATTTGTCTGGCTCAATTGCTCCAGTCCCTGTGCTTTGTCAATTTCAATGTCTTGAAAATTTGTGGGATTAATTGGAGCTTGTACAGTGTTGTCATCAGTTTGTTGGTGTTGTTGTTCTTGGTCAGCTTTGTCGTTGCAGCTGTTCTATTATTGTTACAAATCTGCTTTCAGCGGCCTTCCACGCCATCTCGCACAATTCACAAATCTGTGCATCCTTGAGGTCTTGCTGGTCTTGCTGCTGCTCTTGTTGGTGTTGCGTTCTACCTGAAGGCGGAGGCATCTTTCTACTCATCAACACCATTGCATCTGTTAAGATCTTGATTGTTTGCTTTGCTTGTTCATCTGGTTCGAGTTTTAACTCCATTTCTTTCTCACGTATGTCTAAAACAGCTTTGCTCATCATGATGATCAATTGGTAGAATTTTTCATAAAGAGCAGCAAGGTCCTGCAAAAGTGAATGTAGTTAATGGAATGTGGAGATGCTAGGTTAGATACGTAGGTGTAATCTGAAAAAAAATGGTAGAACACGACATAGACTTGCTGTGTGTTGGGGCTGGCCTGAGTATCCTCCTTCTGTGATTCCCCCTCTTGGTTCATCTCGGGATGCTGCTGAGGACGGTTTCTTGAGACGTTCAAGTGTCTGGACATCTGTGAAATTGTTTCCCTGAAGTCTTAATCTGTCGTCCAGCATCTTTTGATCCCAACATTTGATCACAGGGAATGACCTCGCATGTGCTCTCTCATACTCACACCTGTCAAGGTAGCACAACTAACAAAAAAAAAAAAAGAAAAAAAGTTGGTGTTAGTGATATCAATACAAGCGAATTGGATAAACATTGCAAGCAATATGGATAACTAGTAAAATTTGTACGGATATGGTAAGTACCAGGAAAAAAGTGATTGGTTCAGTGAATGATTTCCCATCGTGGTGACTTTTGCATGCTTTTGACCAGTGCATCAATCACATATTGATACCAATTGTATTGTGTCACCTCATTGATGTTCACGAGGGACTTCAGAATGTTCATTGTGATCCTGGAAGTGGTGTTTCCATGTAGGAATATGCTCATAACGAAGACCAGGAAATCTCGTTCGAAGTTATCACCAAAATCTTTTCGACCAGCAATTAATTGTGCCGCTGTGGATCTTGTTGGCAGGAATTTATTACTGTATCCCATTCTTTTCTTGAATGCATACACCATCTTAGCGTGGTTCGTTATAGTGGGATCATTCTGTTTGAATTCTTCCACTGGTTTGGGTCCACGAGGAAGATCAAGTACAACAACAATATCTTCCTGTTTGATATCCAGTACATTTCCATTCAATGGGACTTGTTTCGCACTGGTCTGGAAATTGTTTGCCAGAAAACTGCATAAGGCTGTTGGAATATTTTTGATTTTGAGATCCAGCAAGGCGCCAAATCCCATATCTCTGATAGCCTGCCTTTATAGTTGGCGATAATCTACCGCATCTGGCTCTTCCTTAAGATCTGTTGGTTTATTGATTTCAATGATGAGTTGGAAGAGATGGTTTGGTGTCATACTGATCTCAAATTTCTTGACAGAACCTTCAGAACTGATTGGCTGTGGATCTTGACTAATCATCAGTTTGTTGTTCTCAGGTTTCATTCTTTTCTTTTTGGGCTTTTTATCATCATTGTCATCAGCAACCACAAGTTGCTTTGGATTTCCTGTCGGTGTGCTCTTCTTCCTCTTTGGTTTCCTCAGCAAGTTGTGGGGCCTTGGACTTTCACCAGGGGACTGTTCTTCTTGGGTTGATTTTTGATTTTTAAATATGGTCAGTGTTCCTTCAGGGAGCTCCATTATTATCTCTGGTTCAGGATCCGGTGATCTGTCTGGGTTGCAGTTGAGGTCGTGGCTTGCGCTGATCCACTCGTGTCTATATTTTGTTCTAGCCTCCTTTAGGGAAATGTTGCCATTGGACAATTACTAAGAAGTCAGTGGACAAAATAGCAGGATATGAAAAGGAGCAGTAATCAAAAAAGGAGTAACCAGTATGAAATGGGTGGATAACCAGCAAATAATGTATGGACATGTAGCCACATAAAAGCACATCTAAAAAAAACAATGGATAACCAGTTTAGTCCCTGCGGATAACCAGTATAAAATGGGTGGATAACCAGAAATAAAGTTTGGACAAGCACCCCATAGCACACACGCAGGAAAACTTGGATAACCAGTTCAGATATATAGTGGATAACAAGTTTAGTTTGTCCATGCCACATAGAATCAAATGTAAAAAAAGCATGGATAACCAGTTTACAACTTGTGGATAATTAGTTTACAAATTGTGGATAACTAGTTTACAACATGTGGATAACCAGTATGAAATGGTGGATAACCAGCAAATAATGTATGGACATGTAGCCACATAAAAGCACATCTAAAAAAACTATGGATAACCAGTTTACACCCTGCGGATAACCAGTATAAAATGGATGGATAACTAGAAACAAAGTTTGGACAAGCACCCCATAGCACACACGCAGGAAAACTTGGATAACCAGTTCAGTATATAGTGGATAACCAGTAACAAAAAAACACAAAAACATGGATAACCAGTTCAGTTTGTCCATGCCACATAGAATCAAATGTAAAAAAAGTATGGATAACCAGTTTACAACTTGTGGATAACCAGAATGAAATGGGTGGATAACCAGTTTGAAATAGGTGGATAACCAGCAATTATGGCATGGACAACCATCACATAGCATACGCAGGAAACCATGGATAACTAGTTCAGATCTAGTAGATAAACACAAAATATTCTTGGATAATCAAAAAAATAGGATCCCGGAGTAATATAATTACCAGTGAATCATGTATAGATGAAGGAGAGTTTGAGATGGCCGGACGTAGGGTTTCTCGCCATCGTCTGTGTGTGTGTGTTTGTGAAAGAACAGACTGACAAAAGGAAAAAAAACGCAGGAGAAGATGAAGTTATCAAAATCGTCTTCTAGCATAGGTTTTCCGTCGACTTTCTGTAATTTTGTGGTGGTGGTCAATTTTGTATTTGCCCTAAAATGGAGAGTTTCCATCGACTGTGTGTTTGTATGTGTTTGTGCGTGAGGATGAAATGGATGAAAACAATTTTGTGTGTGCATTTAATGTAAAGGTAAAAACAGTTTAGCGCGTGTTGCATGTGTGTTTGATGGGGGATATACGGTACACCCGAGTGCACTGGATACGGACTGGAACTCTTTATACCATGAAGAACCAACAATTAGTACCTTCGACAAATTTGAACCAATAGGAACTTCAATTGTTCCGAAAAGAATTAAAGAAGAAAAGATTCAGCGTTTTATACCTTAAATTGTTTTCATGACTTGTATGCAAATTTAAGAGATGTTTAACTGAAGGCCAAATATTGTCATTTGGAAAAAGTTTATCCTTTGAAGGCGGAGGCGGCGGTGGTGGCGGGCGGGAGGGATGTGGGGCGTTGGCAGCAAAAGTAAAGATAGTAGGAACGGGTGGCGGTGGCGGTCACCGGGCGGGATTTGGAGGTGCATAATTGAATATGCATGTATCAAAGGCGAAAAAAATATGTCAAAGAGGAGGAAAAGATTACTACTCTGGAATCTGTTCTGATTTCAAAACTGCGACTTTGACCTGGACGAATGACTTTATATAAAGAAGTAATATAAATATCACGAAATGAAAAGAAAAGGCTGATAATGCTATTCAGTACAGCAAAATCCAAGTCCCTAACTCTCACAACCGAACTAAAAAGGCTACACCAAATTTTCGAATTCATTTGAGCCCTTACAAAGAAATCAAATATGTGATACTCAGTAATGAACAAAAAAAGCAACCTAGCGGCTAGTAGCCTAATATGTCACATTCTTGGGTAGGTTTCGGATAACATTACTCTTCATGCCAATTTTAGAACGCATATCCTCCACCCCAGATTTATTCATGGCCTTCAACACCTTCAGCCTGACCATATGTTCCTTCGACTGCACAGTGGCCAGACCCATGCTCTTATACCTGGAGATTAACAAAGAAATTGCTGTTTGTTAAGGGATACAACTTTATGCGTAAAGCTTAGTCATCAACAATGCATACAGTTCCTTTTTTTTCTTTTTTTTTCCCCTTTGCCCCTGTTTTCATCCTAAACAAACTCGCAGAAATTGACAATGGAAAACGCAGCAACTTCAAGCATAAAGAAGCACGATTGTCAAATGCTTCGAAATCTTCTCCAAGTAAATTATTTATGACACTCATCTCTCCTCATAGAAAGGGTAATGCAGTCTTCATGGTCTTCAAGTTCTTAAATTTGCACATCAGAGATCAGAAGGAACATAAAGGTACCATAATCTTTGATATATATGACTACCTTGTTTTAACATTGGGATAATGCATCACTAGTTACAACTCAACAAAGCACCTAACCAATTCAGCAAATTAATATAAGGCATGTTTTCCAAGTGACTCATTTCTTCATCTCTCCACACTCTATCCAAAAGGTTCATAAAAGTACCGGTATCTCCTTTCATTGCAAAATTGATAAAAAGAAAGTACCATTTATCAAGGGCCCAAGAAGTAGTTATTTGGTTGCCTCAACAGCGAAACAAACAGAACTTTTGAAAACTCACAACACTGCAGTAGTCCTTTACCAAGTGGAAGTTATGACAAGGTTATGGAAAATGATCTGAATTAGCAATTGTTTCTTATGAGAATATGGACTATCAATCTGTTACCCTTCGTCAATTCATGGACGTTAAGACATTGTTTAAGAGAGTATTTATTCTTGCTACAGAATGTAATTGATGAAGTATATGTTTATTATGGGATGATAAAGGATTAGATCCAAACCTTGAAGCTAATGCAGCACCAAGAGATGTATCATTTGTAGGCATCGGCCTTGGTTTCTGGCGGTAGTATCGCAAAAATTCCCTTGATCCAAGCACCCTTTTAGACGATCCACCCTCATTCGTCCGAGTTAATATGAGCTCAGACCCACCAGTTCCAAATTCAATTCTGTTCTGCGAGTCATCCACTACAACTAATTGTGCGCCATCAGCATCAGTGTAGCTGCAGAAAAGCATGTTAATTTTAAGAGACGGTAACAAATAATATTGTGATGTGAAGCTTAGCACAATGAGATAATAGAAATTATGAATAAGCAACACGAATCATAAAACACCTGCTACTGTAATCATAAAATTCTTCTAGTTCCGCCTCCTCGTCATCATCACCATCACCATAATGCACCTTACAATGACCTTTGGCGGCCATATGCTTCCTAACAGCATACTTATCGCTGAAGGGGCGGCACTTATCATTGCAGTACAGGCACATGAAATCATGTTTTACCTGAACAATTAAGTATAAAAAGTCAATGGAACCTTCACAGCATCACAATGTAAATATAAATGCAAAAATTGTCAACGTCACCACCTTCAGTCCCAGATAAGTAAGAAGTCCTTTTGGATCCTTTAGATATTCAACATCAGGTATGAAAAATCCATGCTGCTTGTGCATGTGAACCATGCAAGATTCTATAGTATCATGTTTCAAATCACACATAAAGCAGCAGGATGGATCAATATGACGCTTAGCATCTTCATTGCCGTCATCCACATCCATTGAATCATCCTCATCAGTTGCCTCGGTTACTGGGTAATCCTCTGGATCTACCTCCTCCCAATCAGTTTCCTCACTTTCTTCACCATCTTGATGAGTGTCTTCATGAGTTTCGTTAACAACACGAGGTGCAAGAGTCCTGACAATAGGAATTGCATCTCCATCATCGCCAGTTCCTTGGGAAGCTCTTAGAACGTGATTCTTAGACTTTATATGCTGTGCATGAGCCTTTGCACTTCTATAATCTTTGCCACAAAGACCACAACTATAGAGAGTTGGAGTTTCATTTATGCTCTTTTTCTCCTCTGCAAGAGCGGTCTGTCTAGCTAAAAATAATGCTTCTGTCACCCCAGGAACTCCAGCAACCTAAAATAAATATTTATTGAACAGTATGAGATTTAATAGATCTCTCAGCCGAGATATCATCAAAAACCACAAGCAGAGAACTTAGGTGGTAATTTATCCTTGCACTCTCCATAAATAATATGACAAAATGTGGCTGTAAATATTTACTGAGCAACTGCTGATAAAACCTGAGATGCTTTTAGTAGAGTAAAACAGTTGGCATGGGGAACAACACTCATTTGATACAATTGAATAATATATACATTAAAGGCAGATAGAGATGCAATTCTTTCCCTGCCCACCCAAAAAGAAAGAAACTGGTAGTAACTATTCAATACGCCACACAACAGACTTGAATCGAGGCTAACTATAAACACAGAATAAGCAATGATATACGCAGTACAGTGATCTTACGAGGAATTCATAGATATAGAAACACAATAATTTGCTCTAAAAAGGAAGAAGGCAGCACAACTAAGTACAGTGAGATTCACCCTAAGCCTAGTGAAACTAGAATCAAGATTGAGAACTTCCCTGTGTATAGATAAGATTTATAACTACCTTGGTGCTTACTGTATAGAGAGGGGGAAAGTGAGTGGGAACACACACCACTACAACTTTTAACTGTTAATAATACCCTTCACACAACATGTAACAATTATCCTTACAAAACTCTGTTTAAACTCCAATGAGATCCTTATTGCTAGTTCCAACCATATTGAGAAAGGAACTTGAATTTAAGCCAGCATTTCAGAATCAGGCTCAGAGAATTCATGGAGAATGAAAACGAATTATGGGATATATTCAGTAGTTTCCTATCTGTTATGGTCCCCCTTTCCTTAATTTCACACATCAAGCCTCATAGCCTAAATGAATTTCTTATGCAAACATCTCACTCAACCATAAACGAAGTAAGGCACTTACAAACTCCCAAGTTGAGAAAATTTAAATAAGGGAAAAAAATCCTTGCAAGGGCTCGATCCTGAATAGTGCATTCTATCAATCAGCTAATGTCCTAACTTTCGCGGTAAGTAAAAAAGAAATCGGAAGTAATTTCTGGTCTTCTTATTGCAATTGTCCAGAGAAACATTTCCCGAAAAGATCAACTAATTAACAAACTATTTATTAATTTCAAAAAATTTATCACCTCAACAAAAAAAAACACAATCAGCTGCCAACAATTAGATAAAAGTTGATCCCAAAAATAAGAACTTTATCCCCTCACAATAAGGCCTTATTATCCAATGGAACATAATCCACCCCTCCCATCCCACAAAAAGAATATTAACAGTAAGAATATCCCTGAACTAAAAAGATGCAAACCTTGCGTTTGAGGTTGTAACGGTGCCATTCAGATTTGTAATGAAGCTTCTGCTCGCTTTCATCCTCAAACTCCTTGTTACATGAATTGCAAGTTAAACTCGGCATTTCTGCGCGTCCTTTCTTCCCCTCGATTCTACTCCTTTTTTCGACCCCTGTAAACAAAAGAAACACAAAAATAACGAATCATTCACATAACTTCCAAGAAAGCCACCATGATCCGGTGTTTACGGTGGACTAATTGAAACCAACTTTTATGGTACAGGCCACAGAGCGGCTCATATACGAAACGTCCAAAAAAATTATTGAAAAGGGAAAAAAAATAACAAAAAAAATTCGAGGAGAAAGGAAAGTGAATACCTCTTGCAGACGGCGTGAGTTTGCCCCTTTCCGATTGAAGCTGCAGCAGCGGAGATGAAGGTTTGGGAGCGGCGATGTTCCAGGCAGCGCCGCTGCGGGATAGCTTTAGTTTGTAGAAGAAAAGGGCTGAGGTTTCTTTTCTGTTTGATTTTATTGGAAATTTGGTCCTACGTTTTCTTTATTGCCATTTCATTAGCCTGTTTTGCACCGACTTTAACAATTTCACATACGTAATACCTTACGCATCCTAACCCCAAAAAATAAATAAATAAATAAATATTAAGCACAAAATAACAAAAGAATTATGCAATTAAAAATCATTCAAATAATGTGAAATAAAAGAAAAACTTATTAATATGAGGTAAGTAGTACAATTCCAGCATTCCTATATCCACTCACAAATAATTCATTGCTCTTTAGTTAATAATAGGCTGATGATATTGCCAACACAAAAATACCTTTCAGAGCAAATTATGAGAAATTTTCTTAACTTACCCTTATTTAGTCAATCCCTAATTTTCTCCCTCCCCTCTCCTTGCGCCCATTTCAATGGAAACCACCGTCTCACTACCTCAAAAATTTTATTTTTATTTTATGATATTATCACCTAAGATTCTGATCGTTATCAGTTTGTTTATCTTCATCATTCCACTAACCAAAATCAATAAGAAAAATCTAATTTTTCCTTGAAATCTGTCCTCTCAAGATCATAACATCAAACCAATATTTAGCAATCCTCTTCCCATCATCAACAGAAATTTGGGTCAAATTATAGTTGCATTAAGGTTGAAAACTAAACTCCAGAGACAACAAAGATTGGAGAAAACATGCATTGAAATTTGTATTAAGCAAATCTGATTGAGAAAGAAGGATTGAAAATCGGAGAAAGTCTTCAAAATTTGGAAGTTTGAGGGGATGGAAACATAGAGATAGATGCACTAAAAAAAAAAAGTTTGAAGAGATTATCATTGATATGGTAGAACAGTGATTTGTGGTAGAACAGTGATTTCCATTGATACGGACGAAAGCGAGAGCAAGGGAGTAAATTATGATTGACTAAATAAGGTTAAATTAGGAAAATTAGTCATAGTTTGCTCTAGCGACTATTTTTTATGCTGGCAATATCATTAGCCTTAATAATAATCATAGACTTCTAACTTTTACATACAAAAATAGAAAAATATGTAAATATTTTGAATATCCAGCCGATCTCTGTCGAGCTAAGCAATGAATTACAATATTGGTTTCTCGAGAAATAAAGACTAATTGTATATCCATTCCTTCTTATAATCATAAGAATCTCTTCAAACACTTAGAAGTATCCAAGAAAAAAATTTTGGTCAAAATGATTATTCCCTAATTATAGTCTATATCAAACATTCTTAAGGCACATCTATTCACATTTTGTGACTGCGTGATATAAGTTATTTCTTTCACTCTAGTAGGCAGTTCCATCACATGCTCCTTTCTGTCGTAGAAATAGTTTTCATAAAACCGAAAATCGTATATCCTCCGAGCTCAAATCTTCTTCTAGCCTAGTGGAGGTGGGTTGGTATTTTGAATCGCCAAGAATACTCTTGTGCGCTTGACTTTTGTATTCGGTTACTATTTTATATTGGAAAAAAGCCACTTTATATACATTAAGAATAGGGGATCTCCAAATTATATACCCTAAGAATTGTTTTTACCAAATCATGTACCTTATGTTTGGATTTTGTTGCTTTAGTTACTTTTTGAATGGCAAAATGAGAAACTAACCAAATTTCGTCCTACCTTACTATGTTTTTGCCCCCAAACTTCTAGAAAAGAGCAAATTACACTATAAATTTTATTGATTTTACACAAATTTATCTTTCAGTCAGATTTCAACAAATTGCACTTAAATTTTGGGTAAAAATTTTTTCATGACTTCCAGCGTTTATTATTTTGAACTAATATTTGTTTTATTTTACCAAGTTTTTTTCATATAGATTTAATTTATATTTTTATTCTTCATTTTGCATGATTTTTTTTAAAAAAATTTGTTATTTCGTTTTTTTATCTTTTTAAAATTTTGCACATTGATGCAGTTCTAGTCACAAATTTCCAGAGTTTATTTTAGGCCAATAAAAGAAATTTTTTTAAAAAAAAACATGTGTCAGTAGAAGTGCATCAAAGTGCCAAGAAATTGAACAAAAGTACCAAAAAAAGAAGAATTAAAAAAATATTTTTAAAATAATCATGAAAAACAACAAATAAAAAATATAAATTAAACGTATAATAACAAAAACTCACTAACTTTTTTTTAAAACAAAGTACGTCAAAAATAATAAACACTAGAATTCATGGAAAATTTTTACCAAAAATTTAGGTGTAATTTACTGCAATCTGACTGAAAGATAAATTTATGGTGCCATTTGCTCTTTTTTAGAAGTTTTGGGGCAAAATTATAGTAGTTTAGGTTAAAATTGTGTTAGTTTTCCATTTTGCCCTTTAAAAATTATCTAAAATAACAAACTTCAAACATAGGGTATGTGATTTGGTAAGACCAATTCTTAGAATATATTATCTGGAGACCCCCCTATTTTTAGGGTACGTAAAATGAATTTTTTCCTTTTATTTTTAATGCAGTTGAAATTCTAAAAAAAAAAAAGTCTCAAACTAAAACAATCATTTTGAGATATTGGAGCATAAAACAACCATTTTCACCCTGGATTTGGAAAAACGTATCCATAATCTCCAAGGTGACGAAGAGAATATGTATCAGTATTCCAAAAAAAAAAAGTTCAAGCTTGGAAAAAAATAGCAAACCATTTTACTTAATCTACAACTAGTTTTAAGAACTTTTATTTAGAAAAATAATCTTCCAAAAATGGCCATAGAGTTATAGCGAACTCCATCTTATTTACTTGTATCATATCAAGCAAGAGAGGAGTAATAGATTTGATTATGTATATCCTACTATATTAGAAACAAAAACCTTCTTTTCAAACACCTCATATGATTGTCACGTGGCATATAAAAAGTACTAAATTATCCTTTTGTCTAAACTATAACTAAATTACTAAATCTTTCTTTGCACTTTACGTAACACGTTTTTTTTTTTTAAAAAAATTTCTTTATGTTTCAATCATTTAGAGTGGTTTTTTAAGTTAAATTGATCAATTAGATTTTTGTTACAAAGTGTCAATTTTGTTTTAAGCGTATACCTTGCGGATGAAGCTTATTACAAAGCTATTAAAAATCTCCAAAACTAAGTATTAATTTAGCACGACCGAACATCAATAAATCATCTTACTAATATTTAAATTTATTATGATACTTTTATATTTTATCTAACATTTACTTCAATACATATATTCGATTAAGGCTATTTATATTTAATAAGTAACAATTATAAAATATCTCTATAACTTACATGGCGAAATACAATTTCTTTTTTTTTGTGAAATACAATTATTTCTATGATCACACTTATAAAACATTTCTAAATCCTTCAAATATTTCTAAAATATATTGCTCCAAATACAAAATTTTATTTTTTTTCAAATATAAACATTTCTAAGATTTACAGATAAACTGGGCCAGAGTCACGCATTGCGCGACCAGACATCACTAGTATGAGAAGAAATGAAATCTTCGGAATGTAAGTTATTCCTTTGATTAGGAATTTTCTAGCGCTAGCAAGACTCCCGTTTTCCCACCATTTGGTGTAGGTGAAGGATTAGAGAATTCGGAGTTTTAATTAATATTTTATGGGGATAATTTGGTAACTTTAATTTAGATAGATTAGAGTTTATTTTTTTCTTTTCTATTTAAGGCTGTTAGTTGCCATTGTAAAATTTGATTATTCACTCTATAAAATTGAGAGTTCATATCTTTTCCAAAATTCATAGGGTTAAATTTTAGTGCCTTATTTCCGAATATTTTCATAATTAACGGAGTTAGAAAGCTTCTAAAAATGGATATTCGCAGAATCAATAGTTTTAGAAGAGGTTACCAATTTACTTTTATTCAATTTATCCAATTGATACATTTCTGATACGCCAGTTGGTATCAGAGCCGACATTAATCTTGGCGGATTGATTTGTAGCTTAGAGATCCTTCTATGGTGTTGACAGTTTTGGTTCCAATTTCATTGTTTCTGTTTACGTACATTTGCATCAGTTTGGTTTGGATTAGTTTTTGGCTAGTTATTTAATTGGCTTGTGTGCATTTTGGGAGTAAATTTTTGTCTTCGTTTGGCCAACTAAAGCTGGGTGATGTTAATCAATTACATCAATATAATTGTTAGTTCTTTGTGTGTTTATTGATTGTTGTTTCAATTGGGTTTGAATTATTTCAATGGGATGGTGTGTGGGTTTTTTAATTGAATTGGAGATCATTGTTTCAATGGGTTTTTTTTTTTGGCCTATAGAAGTTGGAATAAATTAATCAATCATTATATCTTACTATATAAGAAACAAAAACCACACTTCAAAGAGCTCCCCTTCAATTGCTACGTGGCATTTCCACCTCATTAATTACCATTAATTGATATTAATAAATTAATAGATTTCCATAATACCCTCCAGAATACACACCACGTGCTCTTCTATTTTCTTCCCTCTTTCAAATTTCCACTCCTCCATTATAGTACAGAAGAGTAAATTATGTTACTTCTTATTTCACAACTGATGAGATTACTCTTCAGCCCATTTCATTTTCGATTCTTCTTCCAAAATCTTGCACGTTCTCATAATCAAAATGCCGCCGTCCACCGCCGGTAAACCGCCGCTTCCACCACCACCCCGCCTTACTCGGGTACCTCCGTCGCAAACCATTTTCTCCCATGCCAGAGCCCAGATCTCCACTTTCTGTCTATTCTAACATAGAATGGGAAACAAATCTTCTACAGGCATCTATTGTAACAGAATTCAATTGAATTCTACCTTAATCCATAAGCTTTCTTTGATTTCTTCAATTGAATCCCATTTTCAATTCATTTCTTTCGGTTTGGTTACTTTTTCAAGTATAAGAATGGATTACTTAGTTCCGAAGCTTCAGAGGCAGTCGCAAACGAGCTCGGAGTTTCTGTACTTGGGCACTTTGGTGAATACTCATGGAGCCACCGACAATAGTGTTATGCAGCAACAACACCCACGTGGCAGTAGCACCGGCGACGAGAGCAGTGCTGCGAATTCGAGAAAATTTGACTCGCCGGAGCTCCGCCCTTTGCCGCCGCTTTACGGTCACAACAATGTTAGGCGAAATTACGGTAATGGTGATGTGGGGTCCGCTACACATCAATTTTAGGCAAAAAATAAAAAAACTCTTCCAGTACCGGAATATTTTAGGTAATATTTTGGGCTTAGGGTCCAGTAAGTGAATACAGTCTAAATAGAAATATTTTCATTGGCTGATGTTTGACTGAAAGGAAAGTAATAGTATTTTGTATAGAGCCCACTCTTTTTTTAGAGTAGAAATAATAGTATTTTGTATAGAGGTCAAACATTTCCCGCAATACAGTCCTACTAATTTATCCCACTTTTTACAATAGGGCTATGCACCATGATCTCACTAATTTATATGGTGATGAGTTCTTTTTTTTTTATCCCACTTTTGTATAGTATTTTGTATGATTTTGTATTGGGTGGGAAGGAATGATGTTCCTTTCAAACACCTCCTATGATTGCCACGTGACATGAGAAAACTACTAAATTGCCCTTTTGTCTAACCATAACTAAATTACTAAATCTCCCTTTCCACTTTAGGTGACCCTGTTTTTTTAAAATTTTTTCTTTATGTTTCATTCAATTAGAGTGGTTTTCTTTTCTTAATTATGGAGTCTAAATTAAATTGATCAATTAGGTTTTTGTTTCAAAGTGTCAAATTTGTTTTAAGCATATACCTTCGGATGAAACTTATTACAAAGCTATTAAAAATCCCCAAAACTAAGTAGTAATTTGGCACGACCAGTGTAGAACATCAATAAATCATCTTCTAATATTTAAACTTATTAGGATACTTTTATATTTTGTCTAACATTTATTTCAACACATATATTCGATTAAGTATATTTATATTTAATAAGTAATACTTATAAAATATTTCTAAAACATACATGGCGAAATATAATTTATTTTTTTGTGAAATACAAATATTTCTGTGATCACACTTATAAAACATTTCTAAATCCTTCAAACATTTCTAAAATATATCGCTCCAAATACAAAATTTTATTTTTTTTCAAATATAAATATTTCTAAGATCTACAGATAGACTGGGCCAGGGTCGCGCATTGCGCGACCAGACATCACTAGTATATTAAAGAAAAGAAAGATAATTGATACGTGTCGCTAATTCAGGGCATCAACATTTTCTTCTTTTTTTTTAGATAAATGGCCATCAACATTTTCAGAGACATATGTCATTAACTCATTGGATGGTCATTAAACAGTAAAAATTTAATGTGAACCGATAAATCCTAAATTTTACTTATTACTCCCTCCGTCCCACAAAAACAGTCCAGTTTAATAAAAAATTTTGTCCCAAAAAAATAGTCCCGTTTCACAAAATTCAAAATTAATTGAATCGAAACGACTTAAATATCCAAAGAGTAGTGGTAAGGAAAATAAGATTCACTTGCTTTGATTTTCATTTTTTTAGTTTTCTCCCATTTTTTCAAATGATTATATCTTTTAATACATGAATAATTAAAAAATGTGTTATATATCAAATTAATCTACGTAACGAGATCTTTCCATCAAGATCCATTGTCAATATTTTTTGAGATAAAAATTTTGATCAAATTTAAGTTGTAAAATAAATGCATATGTAGTTAATTTTTATAGAAATAACTAGAAGCAGCATTGGTGGAAACTAGGGGCATAAAATGAAATGTACATTTGGTGTGTTGACCAAATTAAAAAAGTTCTACATTTTCAAACTGGATTATTTTTTTGGAACGGGGGGAGTATAATTTAAATTAATTGATATTTATGGTTTTAGACTTTTAGTCAGACACGTAAATAGGAACAGATGCTTTTAATTTGATTTGTCCTTTTTCAATATTGATGACATCCACGATCGTGATGATCATCACAAATCCGACTTCTGACTAAAAACACTTATGTTTCATGCTACCATTTAATCTTTTTGCCTTTTTTAGGGGTTTTGTGGAATTCTTTAGGTGATCATTTTTGTGTAAAAAATGGTAAATTTTAACAATCTGAATTCAACATTGTAGTTCAGCGACGGAACCCTTTTGTGTGTGACTGTGTGAGATTTTAAATCTCAAGGTTGAAGACAAGGTTTCTTATTAATTTATTAATAAGCTCACCGTGAATGACTGGAGTTCATCATGGGGATTGTTTCACGTGGTTGAACGGAGCGAAACGGCAAAATGGATGAACAATGAACCATAGAACGGCGAGTGATGAACGATGAAGAGCAGCGACGGAAGATAAAGTGCCAACAGAACCCGGCAAGATTCTCGGTTCCAACCTCATTAGCTCAATTCCAGCATGGATCAGCTGAATTGAGATATGGGTTTTCTGTAACTCATCATGGGGATCATTTTGACTTAAAAAACGATGAGTTCTGTGCTCCATTATTCCAGATCGGGGTGCAACGGCAGGGATCCCTTTGGTCGGCAAATATATTTTTTTGGCCGGTAAATTTCATATCGGGAGGTTGAAGATGAAAATTTTTAAAAATTCCTAAAAAACCCCATGTCTCCAGGAACCCTTGCACTTGAAAGCTGAAACTTTTAATTGGTTCAATTTGGTCCTTAAAGCTCCATTGATGTGCTACCTGGTTTTTCAAGTTCATCAATTTTACACTTTCAAGGACGATTGTGCCTTATAAGTTATTTTTTTGATTATGGGCTAAATTCAAGTTGACCCGAAAGTAGGATGCATATCGGGAGTCCATACATATAGAGATTTAAACAGCAAAATAATGGAACTTGTGAAAAATGCTTTCCATATTGCAATATTTTTGCTAATTACGAAATTGTTGAGAAAATATATTTGGGGGACTGAAAAGAATAAAAAAGGCATAAATTTATATTAAAAGTTTGAACACAATAAATTTAAACAACCATGAAAGTAGTATTACCCTCTGATGTAGTTATGGAGAACTTTTGTTAATTTATTATACTATCATAAAGGAATATCGATTAGCAATGCCATTTGATCTGTTACTATTATTTAATTTAACACAAAGCCGCCCATACCAAATACGGACAAAAATCTGAAGTTGTATTATGATATAAACTCTTACAACTGATACAAAATAATTAACTCAAAATAAAAATAATTAGTGGCTATAATATTTTCTAATCAATATTAATTGGAAGAATGCTTGCTTACTCTTTTTTTTTTTTTCTGGATTGGTTGTACTAATTTGATAATGAATTAATGACTATAATAAATTATATATATGTGTTATGACTATTTGATAATTTGAAAATAGGAACGTTCTAATGGTCCCAATTGGTTTCAATAATTTTCAAGAATTAATTAAAATCATGGTTTAAGAATTATTAATATATTGACTAGAGGAGATTAAAATAAAAATTATTAGTTAATTTAGTTTTGTTAATCTATGTGAAAATTGCTAACTCTCTTGACAAGAACTCGACGCTCTACTCCAAAGGTTTACGAAAGATACCTTAATGAGGAAGAGACTACATTACACCTTTTTGTCAATATTTCTTTAAATATCCCAATAATGGGTTGTCAAAAATTAGATATTTATTTTACATATTCAAATTTGATTGTATTCCTAATTTTTATTTTTTGTAAACCGCAGACAAAGAGATGGATAAACGCGATATAAGTTTATATAGGTGACATGAGTTTACTTGATAATATTTAAAATTTTGGGGTGATTTGTGGTGATGCTATTTGACGGGTTTAGATAAAGAAACGAGTTTTGTTTTCTTTTGTATATGGTGATAAAAACAAAATGAAACTCAAAGATTATTATCTAAACGCATATGCCTACCGTGTCCAAGACCTTGAAATCTCTTTGGATAAGAAATTAAATAACACTTTTGAAGAATTTCTCTTTGGATAAGTAAAAAGTTATTGGTCATTATTAATTTTTTTTTTTGGTTCAACAGACTGACGAAAACGAAGATAAAAAGGTGAAAGTGAAGATGGAATGAGATCTTCTAGTTTGTATTCCTTTTTCTTTTGTGGTTCAACAGAGATTGTCAAAAAAATATTAAAACTGCACCAAAACCATTTTTGTTTTCAACCTACCAAACAATCAGAATCTTTTAACCAAAACAATACAGAGTGACGTACTGTTAAAGATAAAAATAAAGATGGAATTAGACCCGCCGAAAGACGATTATTTCATAATTCGATAACACTTTTGAAGAATTTCTCTTTGGACAAGTAACTAATGTTTGATTCTTTTTTTTGGGGGAGGGGGGGGGAAGGGGGGTTCAATGGGTTGTTAACAAAACAAAGATGGAAAATGAAAATGAAGAAGGAATGAGATTTGTCGCTTCTTCTTCTTCTTCTTCTTCTTCTTATTATTATTATTCTTCTTCTGTTCAACGGGTTGTCAAAAAATAATTAAATACAGCAAAACTATCGTACCTCCAAAAACTCAAAATCTTTTAAGTAGGACGATACAGAATGACATGTTGTTAAAGATGGAAATTAAGCTGGAATAAGATCCGAAAATTCAAAGACGGCCCTTTTATAAGTAGATAACACTTTTCAAAAACAATTTGGACAAGTAAGTAGTGTTTCAATTTTTTATTTTTATTTTTTGTGTTCTATGGGTGGTCGGAAACATAGATAGAAAGATAAAAATGAAGACAAAATGAGATCTGCCGATTTGTTTGTTTCTTTTTATTCAACGGGCTGTCAAAAAGTACTAAAATAGCAACCAAAATTCCCTTAAACTCTTAAAATCTCAATAATGGACTGTCACAGATCAGATATTTATTCTACACTATCAAATCTGAGTTACTTTCTAATTTTTATTTCTTTTAAAGATAGATAAATAGATTAAAAAAAATGAGGCATGAGTTTATGTGAAAATATTTGAAATTTTCGGGTGATTAATGGTGATCGTGTTTAATAGGTTTGAAATGCAGCCCCCTTCTCCCCCGGTCAAAGACCTGAAAATGTCTTTTGACAAGTAAATAGATAACACTTTTGAATACTTTTTCTTTGGACAAGTAAATAATGCTTCGGTCGTTCTTTTTTTTAACAGGTTGTCAAAAATGAAGATGAAAAGAAGAAAATGAAGATGGAATGAGTTCCGCCATTTCTTATTCGTTTTTTAAT